GGGGGCAAAAAACGGTGAAAGCTAACGTACGAAATCAGAGGGCAGCACACGATGCGATCGCGCGACCCTGCCCGTGAGCAATCTCCCAACTCATCTCTGTCTCTAGTCTCTAGTCTCCATGCGCAAAACGTTTGGAACTGCGCTGACCAATTTACAGCAATTTATAACCTGAAACTATTAGTATCGATAATTACTGAGACTTTCTGCTTATCGTCAATTGACCGTTTTTTTTTACCCTCAAGGAGAGAAGAAGAGACAAACATTTGAAGATATATTGAATGAATCTTTTGTTAGTACTTTTCTTTGTAACACAATCTATTTTTTTCCACGTTGAACAGTTTCCGTGTAATTTGGCGTAACTCGTGCGCGTGGCTCGTGCTTGCCGGACGCATTGGATGTCAATTCTGATTTTCCAAAAGTTCTTCTGAAGGTTTTCTTTAAATTACAATGACATCCACTTGGGCCAGAAAAGTTTAAATTGTGCGAGAGATTACGGTAGCTAATCCTCTAATCAATGCCAATACTGTTTTAGGTTCTGTCAGTGAAAGTTCTATTCACGAGTTATCGGAGGTTAGGGTCAAATGACGTAATGTTGAAGGACAGGAAACATTGGTAGGTAAGAAGGGGGATTTTTGGTCTATAATCTGCATTATGCGCGTGACTATTTCAAAATAAGTTCTTAGGTACAGTGCATCAAGCGTGCAAACTGGCTGCCAATTGCTGGCTTAATGGTGCGAACAGGAAAAGTTCTAATCACCCGAAGTAGACGAAAAAAGCAGTTCCAGATAAAAGTGATACCACCGATTTACTAACAAGGTATTTTGCAAATATGTTTCATCCGGTAAGGAGTTTCCTTGTGACGTACTGTCGTAGTAAACGGTCTCAAGCCTTGGGAGTCATCAGTCGAGAATTTTCCATAGATGCTAACATTGACAGAAGAGAAGGTAAATTTAATTTGTATGATTTATTAATGTCGTTTGATTATATCATAAAAATTAAGTAATAATTGTACGGTAACCTTACCTCCAGTTATTATTGATGAATTTAAAAATGGCCCAAGGGATACTCGTGCATTATACATGGATGCACAAGCTACGACGCCAATGGTAAGAGTTAATAAATGCGTATAGTAAATGATTGGTATCAATCGAAGGATTCGAAATGGAATAGTTATTGGTTTTTTTATGATATTGAAAGGATCCAAGAGTCCTTGATCAGATGATGCCATATCTAACATCTTTGTATGGAAATCCGCATTCACGAACGCATATGTATGGCTGGGAATCTGAAGCCGCTGTAGAATGTGCACGCGAGGTTTGTATTATCTAACCTGTTTGTATTAACTTACCTGTGACAAACTATCATTACGTTAATGACATTAGACTGATATATGATCTGTATATGTTGATTTTATATAGCAAATTGCAGATTTAATCGGTGCAAATAAAAAGGAAATTATCTTCACATCAGGTGCCACTGAATGTAACAATATAGCCGTAAAGGGTGTTGCAAGATTCTACAAGGCAAAAAAGAGGCATATTGTGACAACACAGACAGCAAGTGTTTAAATTATTTTATAGATTTAGAAAATCTTATATTATATTAATTTTTTCTTTTAGGAGCACAAATGTGTCTTGGATTCATGCAGAGCATTGGAGGCAGAACAATTCGAAGTTACTTATCTTTCTGTTCAAGAAAATGGTCTTATTTGTCTCGACCAGTTGGAAGAGGCTATTAGGCCCGATACATCTCTCGTTTCGATAATGGCAGTAAATAATGAAATTGGAGTTAAACAACCGATCGAAGAAATAGGTGCTATTTGTAGGTAAGGAACATGTGCTTTTCTTGTTCTATTTGTGAATCCATTTTTCCTTACAGAAGTTATCATTGTATATCTACTTTTATAAAAAATAGAAAGAAGAAAGTATTCTTCCACACGGATGCAGCTCAAGCTGTAGGAAAGGTACCGATGGATGTTAATGCATTTAACATCGATCTCATGTCAATCAGTGGACACAAAATATATGGACCAAAAGGTAACGGTGATAACTTATTTTTCCTAGACGCTTTTTCTCTGTTGAATATTTTCTGTAGGTATTGGAGCCTTGTATGTCAGACGAAGACCTAGGGTACGTGTGGAACCATTACAGAGCGGAGGTGGTCAGGAGCGAGGAATGCGAAGTGGAACTGTACCTGCTCCCCTGGCAGTGGGATTGGGTGCAGCTTGTGAAATATCTAAACAGGAAATGGAGGTAACGTTTGGGGCAGAAAGCCTATATTTAGCAAGAACATGTTAGGATTTTTCCAACACGTTCAAATCCTGCAATTTATTAAATGTTATTTTCTTCCATTTTCTTTCTTTCTTTTTTTTTTAGTATGATCATCAACACATCTCAGGACTGGCAGATCATTTGGTCAAGAAAATAATGTCAAACCTCCCTCATGTTATACGTAACGGAGATCCAGTGTTTTGGTATCCAGGATGTGTCAACTTATCCTTTGCTTATGTCGAAGGAGAATCACTTTTAATGGCCCTGAAAGATGTTGCCTTGAGTAGTGGTTCAGCATGTACCAGTGCAAGTTTGGAGCCGAGTTATGTTTTGAGGGCAATTGGTGCATCGGAGGATTTGGCACACTCTAGCATTAGGTAACAAAAATCTGAAATGCTGTATACATTCTCAACAAAATAGCTGTTTTCTATCTATCTATGTTATAACTCCAAATTTACGGCATAAAATATCTCAATAAGCTTTGACATCTCTAATTTTACAGATTTGGAATTGGACGTTTCACTACGTTAGAGGAGGTCGATTACGCGGCAGAGAACACAATTCGTCATGTCAAACGATTAAGGGAAATGAGGTACTTTCATAACTAGATATTAATAGATAAGAAAAAGATTTATTTCGACTTGATATATTATTTATCATTCCATTTATATGCTTTTCATAGCTTCGTTTTTTATAAAATGCTGCATCTTTTTAATCACACGACATTAATACAGTTTTTTAATATACTGTTTCATTGCAGCCCACTGTGGGAGATGGTAGAAGAAGGAATAGACTTGAAGAGTATTAAGTGGACTCAGCACTAATGTTGATCTGATACATTTCTTTTTTTTTTAGCAATATGATAAAATAGAAACTGGTAATCTAAATTAAACGTTGAGTTGAATGACTCGTGTCTGAAACTAGTGAGTTCATAAGATCTTATAATTGAAGCAAAAGAAAGAAATCACTGTATTAGAGGGTTTGATGACACATGGAATAAGAACGCTCTTCATTGGCAAAAAGACACGTGCCAAGAATGACATGTGTATTAGTGAGTATCAAAAAGATTCCATATTGTATCATTAAATGCTGTACTGCATTCTCCCTCCTCCCCTTCAACCTGGACATAGGAACTGGCACTTAGGTATCCAATCGATGAATGAAATCGTTAACCTTGGGGCACCCAAATGGCCTAATTAAATTAAATAAATTAATCATAAAGCCTTATCAATAGCCTTAATCTTCATTTTAGAGATTATCGCACCGTAATACTACCATTAAAATGTAATAAAAAATCATCTTTGACTCAATTGTTCCATGACTCTTCCTGAAAGCCCAATTATGGAACATAGTCACAATCATTTACATACTATCAGTGCATAAGCACTATGAATCTCTCATTTTTTATCACACTCTACATTCTTGGAAATGCAGAATCTTTAAAGAGTGTCCATTATGCAACTTCTCATATTTCTCGCTTATCAATTGTCTAGTTAGCAAAGACATGCTGGATCTGCAGCCTCATCAACATATGATATCTTGAAGCGATCCTTGTCCATCTCGTGGAGTTCCATTCGCGATCGGTTCATTTCCACCAAGTGTTGCACTATGTCCTCAAACATTTCATTGACACCTTCGCCAGTCTTACAAGATGTCTTGTAAATCCCTGAGATGAGGTTATGGCACTGCTCACTAGTAATGTAAAGAAACTCTTGAAATCAAACTAATATGTTAATTGAATTTAATATTTTGAATTACTTTAAGTAAAAGAAAATCGATGACCAGAATTTTATATGTGAGATCGAATCCAATTACCAAAACTGTTCCATTTCGGCATCCGTCACTTGAGGAGCTGATGTTTCTAAGTCACTCTTATTTCCACAAAGAAAGATCTTCGCATTTTCTGCATAGGTTACAATATCCAGCAAATGTTGCGACAATAGATGAAAGGATGTAGCATTATCCAAGGCAAATACTAGGATAGCGGCTTCAGCAAATTTATAATAACTTGACGTAACGGATGCAACCCTTTCCATACCTCCAGTATCCCATAGTTGTAACTGAGAATATTTTCAAATTATTTCTATATTTCAAATACGTAGATACCTTCATTTGGTAAAAGCAACTAATCATAATGCTGCCATGAATGCAAACTAAATCAATAAACTTGTATTATCAAAAGACATTGCTCACCCGAATATGCTTATCATCGATCACATATTCTTTGTCTATATTGTCAAGTCCAAGAGTTGACTTTCTATCACTACTCGAAACAAAACTGTTGTTGGCAAATCTCCTGAAGATCGATGTTTTACCCACACCATATTCCCCACATAGAATAACTTTCTGTTCCGTAACTTTAACAGTAGCCATGTTATCCTCTCAACTTGATTGGTAACAACACTGATTATATAACTTAGCTGTGTTAAAAATTTAATTACATTTGCATCATCGGGCACGTGTAGTATGCATGAATGTAAACAATATGTAAATAGAACTTACTATGGTTGCAGAAATGTCTGTAACATCAATGATATAGACACAGCCACTCCTATGTCGTTCATTGTTTATGTTTTTTGGCTAATTCTAACCTCCTGAACTGAACGTGACTGTTGTTGATATTCACAACTGATTATAACAAATTAATCAATAATAAATAAGCGCCATGAGACTTACGTCATTATGACTCGTTAACACTATGTCATGCACCTGCATGCACCTGTTACAATTAATGTCTCCACCGTCGGTATTTATTCAATACCAGATTGGATAAATCCGACTTTCAGTACGTCTCCACCGGGATTTTTGGGTGATTTCGCGTTTTCTGGGGTTTTTGACATACGTTACGTAAACCCGGAGAACATCGTAGTAAACCAGTAAATTATGTTTCCAATATGAAGAATGCCGCAGATGGACAATATCAGAGATCTCTGACAATATACAACATCGGCTAGGTTATAAACGTCTTTTGACACATATGTAAACACGGAAATATTTTACGGAACAATGAATTAATTTGGCGCTTGTATTCAAAATTCTTGAGAATTTTACATTTCCAATATGGCGGATTCCTCAGACACATGATATATGTATCCACGAGGTTAACATTTTTTAGCGCATAAGTACATAAAAATTGCTAAGAAATTATTAATCTGGCGCTTGTGTTTAAAATTCTTTCGATTTAACCCTGTTTAGTATCGAATTTCTCCCAGGATTTATTACCTTCTATTTAGAAATAGAAGGGCGTAACATATTTTGCGCTCGCGTAAAAAACTAGAGACTTATTATTATACGTTGTAATATACACGTAGTAAACCATGTATATTACATGATGTATATACCTACCCAACCTTGGTTTCCACTACCTGGTTTTATTTAATACTAAACTAATTAGGTGGTGGAGACCTCTGGTGGAGACGCACCCAATGCCAGTTTATCCAATCAGATATTGAACAAATACCAACAATGGAGATTAAGGCCCGGTTCCACAACTTGACTTAACCGAAGTTTAACTGGTTTACACATGATTTAAACCTGTATATACATATAATATGCCAGTGTAGCATAAAGAAGGTTAAAATGATGTTTTATCAGCTCTGGTTTTATGTATGGATGCACATGTATGTATGTATGTATGTATGTACATATGCTTCACTCTTTCGCTTAAAAATTTGTGCCGGCCCAGTTCATATGAATGGTCTCGCATTTTCACCACCATAAACGTTTCGTAATACCGTGAGCTACTCATTTTTCACATTTTCGCTCAATTTACTTTACATAATAGACCCTCTGGTCTAACAGTAAGATGGGACTTTGGGCTTCGTCATAATTCTTATGCCCATGAGTGTTTAGTTAACTATAAATTTAAATGGATTCGACAGAAGCATAACCTCAACATGTATTTGACAGGTCGGATCGCAGTAAGTAAATAAATAGTTAAAAATACCAAAAAATACGATCGTAAATGATAGCGTATGATAGTTCTGTACTTTGTTGAGTGTAAGTAAAGATTTCGAGCGTAAAGTATTTTTCACTATTATAATATCTGATTCATTTAGAAACTTAATAACGTGAAGCAAGTTCTGAAATGTCAGTCTAATTGTTAATTACCTCATGAATTCTTCAATGAAATGGTTAATATAAAGAGGTTCTCTTTCAAGAAATATGTCGTCGCCGCTTTGCTTGCTCTACTGGGAATATTTATCTTTTGTGAATATGTAATTTATTATGTGGTGCTCATTCAGGTACGTTTGTCCCTTAATCTAATGTCATTCTCTTTATTATTATAATCGTATAACGATAATGAAGAAATTAGAATGATTAAATTATTATGAATTAGTGCGACTGGCCAAGCTTGGACCCAAAGAAAGCAGATCCAACCATTCCATTACTTAAAAATGAGGAAAGACCCGTTAAAGTGATGTTTCTGGCTGATACCCATTTAATGGGTTCACGCAATGGGCATTGGTTTGATAAGTTAAAAAGGTATAACCCTTATTCTCTATATACTTTTTTAATTGTGTTTTCACGTTTCCGTCTATCTGATTATGCGACAATAGTTAAAACATTACTTTTATTCAGGGAGTGGCAGATGTACAGAACATTCCAAACTGCAATGACATTACAAAGGCCAGATGTAGTCTTTATATTAGGTTTGAAAAATTATAATTCAGTAAATGTATAAAGTTTGCTAGCTATTTTTTCAGTAAAATAATTTCTAGGTGATATATTTGATGAGGGCCTGTGGTGCAGCTCATCCGAATTCGAACGATATATCCAGCGCTTTGAGTCTCTCTTCTCAGTGCCGAAAAATACACATCTCTATGTTGTAGCTGGAAATCATGATATGGGTTTTCATTATGGTATAATTCTATAAAATCCTTTTTTAATATATGAAATAATCCATTTATTCAGTAGGTTTATTTATCTTGTAATTCATGTGGCTTCAGTAATTACTCCATACCTAAATCAGAGATTCATAAATGGTATGAAGGCACCGAGTGTGCGGAGAATTAGTATTAGAGGCAATCACTTTGTACTCATTAATAGTATGGCTTTAGAAGGTGATGGATGTTTCCTTTGTCGGCCAACTGAAGTAGCTGTGAATAATATTGCTAGTAAGTTCCCTTCTGTGAATATTCTAATTATTTGATATAAATCCAATTAATGTATATTAAATTATTGACTGAAAAAGCTTACTTTTTGTTAAAAAAATTAATGTACACATATAATTTATAGAACATCTTAAGTGTGCCAAAGGTGTAGGCAACGACTGCAGCAAAAGCAGCACAATTAAGCGATACAGTAGACCAATTTTACTTCAGGTTAAATACTCAATAAACACAATGTACTTTCATACCTTGTACATACAATAAATTTAACAACATTTCTACAGCATTATCCAATGTATCGAGAGTCTGATGAAATTTGCAATGAATTGGACCAGGCACCAGAAGAACTGAAGGAGATTAAGTTTCGAGAACGATGGGAGTGCCTATCAAAGGAAGCTTCTGAACAAGTATGTACTTCAAATCCAGGATAAAAAAAAATTGAAAAATGCTCACACAGGGATTCCAGACTTTTAGATAGATTGTGTGTTTAGCTCTTAGATATTCTCAAACCAAGACTGATTGTCGATGGTCATACTCATCATGGATGTCGACGAATACTTAGAGATGATGTACTGGAAGTGACGGTCTCCTCGTTTAGCTGGCGCAATAAGAACAATCCATCTTTTTTACTTGTATGTTATTACATATATGTTATAGTGTTATAATATTACTTCCAATATAGCCGAATTTCCGTTTACTTTTAGGGTGTCTTTATGCCAAATAATTATGCCTTGTCGAAGTGCTACATGCCTGTGGAAACAACAGTGATCAACATCTACATATTCAGTATTATTTTCATTATTCTTTTCGTAATAGTGAAATTGAGACAACCAAGTAATCGATACAACATTTTGAAACTTCATTAATTCAAATAACAATTACTTTCTATCCATTCAAGTGAATTAATCATGAATTAATTAAAACATCTTTATATCATCCGTATTCATAGGAGGAAAAAATGCGCACAGAAATCAAAATTAAAACAGTTTAGATGAAACTAGAGTTCAACTTTATGAACGCGTTACCATATGTAAACATATTATTGTCTATATTGTTTATAAATATTAAATACGTGTTTTATGAAAAGGGTATGTATACATTGTATATAGTGCATGCTATGTTAACAACTTTGTCATTCTGCTTAATTAAGTATTGCTTATTGAAATTAGAATTAAAATACAAACATTTAATAAGAGTAAATGGAAAATTATTAAACGCGGCTGTCATTGAGACATAGTGTAGTTGAAATAAATGTGTCAAATATTTAAAAACTCGTGACAGAGAAAAAAAACTAAGAAGTATCTTAATATTAAGTAAATACAGGTATTCTGTATTATATATATATCAACCATACATCGTACATCGTAATGTCATTTCATGGAACTTTAACAACAATTTGCAATATCCCTTGCAAACTCTTGTCGCACCTGCACTTAACGGTTAAAAGTAAAAATAAATTTATTCGTACATTAGACATTTCTGGTACCTAGGACAGCCTGTTCTAATATTAATGTTATCTCTAACCAATGACAACATTTTGTGTTATTGAGAAGAATCAACAGTAATGCATTCGATGCAACCTTCGCTGATCCGTTAAAAAATACTGTCAGAATCGAATGATCCAAATTGCGATTCTTGTTAAAGGCTGTAAGTACTTCTGCTCTACTGCTTCAATGATATATTTCATAATCACTGTTTTGTACTTACATCACTGTCAAACGATCCAAACAATTTTCAGTGGACGTTAAACAGACGTTAGAACTCATAGCAATGTTTTAATTTCTTTGTTTAGGGTAAACTTGGTACTAGTTTTACGCCAATTACGAGTTGCCATCCCATGATTAACTGACTCTTAACATTTACACATGTAGATATTGCAAGTCAAACTTCGAGAGATGACATTTCATGGCAAGCTCGACAGTTGACACCTTTCAATCAAAAGGCTTGGAGCAAAGTTTCTCGCAGAGTTCATTTTAAAGTAGTTTTCAAACAACAGCACTTTCACTCGATTTTCTATTTCGATTAGAAAGGACTCGTGATCCTGTTCCTCGAACTTGAACATTGACACTGTCAGTAGTAAGTTTAGATCTGTCTATTTTCACTGCTGCGTATATTTTGCGAATGAATACGTACGCAGCAAAGAAACCAATAGTTCCAGTGAGTAACCAGAAGGTAAGCACTATTAAGGCGGTATAACCAAAGTACATCAGAGTCGGTACAAACTCCGTAATTTCCAACATTGTCATGAAATAATATACACAATATGCCAGGACGTACACTGCTGATCCACCACTCACAATGAAACTTCTCCACCACCATCGGTAATCCTGGAAAGAAAAATTCCCATTTAAAGGCAATTTGTCTGTCATTTTTCTTAGAACTGTAGATTAAAAAGGTAATGTATTTACCTCTCCGCAGAGTTGAGAGTAGACCATCACTATGGAGACCTGCGAGCAGGATATTACTAGAATGCAGAACACAAGGAAGAGAAAGCCAAAGAGATAATAAAACTGGTTCTCCCAGAATGCATTGAGGATGAAAAAGAGCTCGATAAATACAGCTCCAAAGGGTAAGATACCAGCTATAAGTGTGCTAAAATTTAAAGAACAGGATCAGTTAAATTGGCCGTGTAAACATTTTTTGAGCATTTAATACCTAATCGTTCTAGTACTTTATTAAAACGAATTAAAATACAATAATTAACATATTAGTACAAGGAGGATTTAACGCATTACAACTTACCTGAATATTGGATTCATATGCCACAACTGATCAGGAACTTGTCGAGGAATTTGATTTGTTTTAACAGGATGTGCGAAGGGTTGCTTCCGATATCCAAAGAAGTATCCAAAATACACCAGGGGCAGTGATATGCCAAACCATAAACATAGCAGTGTCAACATTGTGGTGAACGGTACTGCACCTGAACTGTGTTTTCCCCAGATGAAGAAGTTTAGGAAAAAACAGGTACCAAAAACTATTCCTGGATATAGCATTGCAGTCTGTAAGAAAGAATTGAAAAAATAAAACACCAATACTAGAACATAGGTATTCTATATCACCTTAACATTTATTATTTACCAAGAAGGCAGCTTTTTTCCATTCACGACCTCGCATGGTTTTATATAATCTTGCCGAAAAATAACCAGCAATTAAGCCAGAGAAAACATACAGAAAAATTGCACACGTTCCCAGGGCTCCTCGACTTGCTGGTGAAAGCATTCCAAGCATAGCGAAAACTGAAAGAATCAATTAATTAAATTTCGATTAATTAATTAATTAATTAAATTCATTAGACTCAATATAAAATAGTGTTTACAAATCGTTATTAATGTCATGCAGAATATCTGGATGCCACTGCCGATGATAGCTGCAAACAGACGAGGGTGTGCTGGAGGCCTGAACACATCTCCGTGAACTAACTTCCACCCAGTCTCTTCAATTGTCTCATCCAGTCCAGTTATACTGTCATATTCATAAGCATTATACTTGGCTATGTCCCTTTTTAATGTTCTTACCATAATCGTTGCGAGGGTTCCTACAGAAAAACGAAAATGATGTATAGGTCTCTACATTAACATTTCTACTTTTGGCAATTACTCGTTACACACTCACCTGAAAGAAAAAAGATGACAACTAGTGAGTTTATAATCGAGAACCAATGGATCTCAAAGTCACTCATGCCCAAATAAATGTCCCACCTGCTCGCCCAACTCACATCAGACTCTTTCCATTCGACAGAGTATAAGAACAGAAGTCTAGTGCCTTTGGGATGTACAAACTGAGGATTTATTTGGGTCGGTAGTATACAGGTGGTTCCATCAAATTTCAATTGATTTGTATCAACTGATTGTGCCTCCACTTCAAAGCCCACAACTCTGAAACCATCTCTGCAAGGTATAATAATAATGTTATCATACAACAAATTGTTAAATAATTACTAACACGTATTATTTGTATTTACTCTGCATGTTTGTGATAGCTAAGCTTAAGCTTAAGATAATTGTTGATATAAAATTGATCATTTATCATACCGCCTAAGCGGTACCCATGATAGACAAGAACATTATTTGCGTCCTTATGAACCTCTTTAGTGGCTGCAGGTAAATTGTCTATTAATCTAAAACAGCAAGATAAAAATGAAAATGAGACCGACTGATAAATTGGTGAACAACACGTTTCTATTTTACACTATGTGATACTTACAAATGTACATAATATTTGTGTTGGATACGTTCTATAACTCGTGACGAATCCTCTTCGTTCCAATTAATTGGGTTTGTTGGTCCATTGCATAGAAGACGACAGGAAATATGTTCTCCCATTGCCACTTCATATGGTGTATTTACAATCCTAAGCATAAAAGTTTAGCAATACGCTGCTACAATTCACATCCTACTTTTAATAACTAACAAACTATTACCTGTCTCCTCTAAGCACTTCTCCTAAATTCTCTGGCTTATAAATGTACGTTCCATTCTTTGGCAAACAAAATGGGAGGGAGTAATACTCATACGGAAGCTGTGTATGAGTACTTGTCATTTTGACAGCCTTGACATCGATCTTTTGACCCATCTTAAACTCCACAGGTGCAACACCGGGCACGTAGAAGGCATTTGCTTTAAGTAAGAAAGTTAGCACTGCCACGAATGTACATCTCCATTTTAACCTTTCCTGTAAAGTGCAATGAATTAATTTGACGGTGAATTATAAATATTAAATAAATTGAAGAATCGTACCCACCCTCGTGAGCTATATAAGATTGACTTTTGTTAACTTTAAGTTAATAATATAGGTAAATTGCTACTGAACGATGTGAGACATTATCACATAAGTGTTAACAGAAACCATGGCCATGAATATTCGATTAAATACAGAGCGGTTGAAACGAAAATAAGAAATACTTTAAGAAAACTAGGGAAACGAATCACCAATCACAGTCTTACCATAATTTTAGGTTATTTCTGCTGAAAACGCGCCACGCCGACTACTTGTTATCTTCTATTCTTACCCACTTGCAACTATTCACAACTTGGGAAAGCTAACCATGCAACTAACAAATTCTGACACAACTGCAATCACGTCAAAAACGGAATTACATACATACAACTGAAGTTAGGTGCGACTTTAAAAAGATTGTAGCCAATCTTCGGTCCACTAATTACCTAGGGACTTTGGAATCAAAATCGCGGGAAATACAAACCATATCGATCAGAGATGAGTTGGAATCAATCATAAATATTAAAATATTGAATACGTTGTACAGAGTTATTTAAACATTGTACGTGATATATTATTAATGGAAAATGAATACTTGTACTGAATAAATGTATAGGAATCTATTTCTTAAAAGTCTGACATTTCTCAGGTCCAATTAATAATGTGTCGCTGTTTGAAAGGAAGGTCGTCTTCGTGTAAATTATGTTTTTAACTTTCTCCTGTATGTAACTGCAAAAGTAGTGTGTACAAATTCCGAATGAAATTGAATATTTTTGCTGATTTCAATGCGAATAGTGTTAAGCTTAAAATAACTAAGTGACAGGAATTAGTTCTTCAATTGACTATGCTTTTTCGTGGGAAAAAAATAGGTTTGAAAAAAAGATGTTTATTCGAAAGTGAAAATATCTGCACGTTCTTTTCCCGGATGAATCGCAAAATATCATTTTTAAACGTGCACTGGTGGAATTGATTTTTCTTTTGAAGTAAACATTTGGAAAAAAGAAGAAAAATCTCAAAGAATATGGTACGCCATCCCTGAGTTTGCTCTTCGCGCCATGTTTTAAATGAGCCGCCATAAAATAGGAAATGACTGGTATCAATATTGTACTTTTATCATTAGAATGTAAACACTGAATTTCCAAATGTATACATATTAACAAATGGATAGAATATATATTTACGACAGCAATGAAATATAGTTATTATTAGAAGGTTCGTTAAGCAAGGTGACGAAAATCAGTTGGTCGTTTGACTAAGCTTTTCCTTGCGAAAAAATATACCCCCGAAAAGGAAAATATCGTCCCACGTGGGGGCCAGTTTAATTGCAAGTTACGTTGTTTAAACATGCGTTAGTTGAGTTAATCTTTCTTTCGGGACAATGGTGCAGGTAAGTGGAAACTTTTGGGCATCAAGAGGTCCCGCCTGGGAGGCTAAATATGCCGTTATTCGCCGGATTTTTCCGCGAGTTTTATTGGGAATTTTTGATTGCTTTTTTTCCGCCTGTCATCCATTAGTAAATAGGAAAGATGGCAGCGGATTATTGCGCTTTTTTCCATTGCGATCGCCCCGCCGACATTATTCTCGTCGTTCACCGTTTCCAGTGACTTTTCGCTAAGTTTTACCGCGAAGAATAGGTTACCGGAGTGTTTTCCTACTAATCTTTCCGAGTATTCGGGATTTTTCGATTGGAAAAGGAAGCCTCGAAATATGAAGGTGGAGAAAAATGGTGTATAGATTTTTCACTCTTTTTCCTTTTTTATCCGATTTTTACCCGGTGCCTGTTAGGAGTTTCAGCTAGTTCGTTAACCCCTGGGCAGGTTGTTTATTACGAAATCATTATCATCCGTTACTCGCGGATTATTCTTTATTTAAAAAAATGTAAATTAGGGAAGTAATTGCAAGTATTTTATTTAATATCTTTGTGGTATTTGGTGCTTGAAATTTGGGTTATTTCATTCAGCTACTGTAATATTATATGTATTTATTATTAATAATAAGTAATAGTTATAATAATTCACAATGTGTTTGCAAAATAAGGACGTAAATATGATCCAATTTTACTGTAGTGTCATATATTAATATCATGCTGTTATAATGAATAATATGAAACATTTAATATGATTACAGGCAATTGATGAGATGGAGCAAAGGGATTTGCCACAGGCAATCCGCTTGCTCGGGGAAATGAATGCCAATGTTGTTCAGGTGAATCAACTCGTTGACAACATGTTGGTGCGAGTAAAGAATGGAGAGATCTCAACGGATAAGGGATTAAGTTTTTTGGAGATGAAGTATCATATGTTGCTGTCTTATCTGATTAATTTGACTTATATTGTACTGAGAAAATGTTCCGGAGAGCGCATTGAAGGAGATCCATCGATAGATCGCCTAGTAGAAATCAGAACAGTTTTGGAGAAGATTCGCCCAATAGACCATAAGCTGAAATATCAAATAGATAAACTGGTTAAAACGGCAGTAACCGGCACAACTGGTGGCAACGATCCAATTAATTTCAAAGCTAATCCCGGGGCATTAATGGCAAAAATTGAGAGCTCAGATGAAGAATCTGATGACGAAGGGAGTGAGAAAGGAGACACTGCTGACGCGTCTCGGTCAAGAAAGTCTGGTGTCTACATTCCGCCCAAACTTGCTGCTGTTCACTATGGTTGGTAAATGCTGTTGAATTTTGAACTTATGTTACTATTTTGATTTAATCATTTCAATTTACCAATTATTTCCAGATGGCGATGAAACGTTGGCAGAGAAAATGCGTAAAGCAGGAGAGAGAGCACGTAGACGAGCCATATCTGGTGCAGTACTTCGTGAACTGCGGGAAGAATATCTAGATGCTCCCGTTGAAGATTCACAAAGTCTTGGAGAGAAGCAGGCGAGTTTGGGACATGAGAATAAGAGAAAGGTTGAGTATGAAGAGAATTACATGACTCGTTTGCCAGTAACCAAGGAGGAGAAGCACCGACGTCGACAGATGACCACGCTCGGTACTCTCGGAGATGAAATCACCAGTTTTGGTGGCCCATCTTCGGTTTCTGCTAAAAAAAGAAAAGCTCCTAAAGGAAAAGGAAGAAAGAGTGAGTTTAATTTTATGTTGTTCCGATATATGGATCTGTTTAAAAAGTAAGAGAAAAATCTACAAATATCTGACAACTACCTGAAACCGATTTTAGGCTTCAAGAAAAAGCGGCGTCACTAACCTGGCAGGTGTTGTGGTTTCTTCGATGCGAAAGAAAGTGTCGTACTATGATAACGGGGCAGGTAACATGTAATGCAGTCTCTCGGACTAAATTCTCATTCGGAGCTGTTATCGGCAAGTACTCTCGTTACTAAGTTCTGCTATTTAATTATTGATACGTCTTAGCGTAAACGAGCGCCCATCGAAGGGAGGAGGGAACCTACCACGATGCTAATTTATTACTATGTAAGAGGTCGTGTAATGGTCGTGTAATTGATAACTATAGTCGCTACTGGTTTTAATCTTTAAACGCTGTCCAGTTTAACGATTTCGGATCACGGTGCCGTCGTAAAAAAGTAAGTCGAGCTTTGCGTATGCACTATTTATGCATGATTCCTCATGTACCAAGGAAGTTCTTCGGCCTCGTGATCCGAAAGTGCCAAGAAGCACAGGCGTCAAAGCGGAAAGCAGAAGTGACTGCTTTATTTTGAGATATTCTCTGGCTAGGAAGGGAGCAGCAACTGAAGCGATAATATCGAATTAATTGTTACAGGAGCGTACAAATCTTGAGACATTCAAAGCCGGATCAGTGAACTCGTATGTTAATATTTAACTAAAAGTAATAGAACAATGCAAGGCGAGGCTTCTTACATAACATAAAAACATCTTGTTGCGCGCATTTTAAAATTATATTTTTTTTCTTTTATTGGCATGCTATGCAAGTGAAAGAAAGAATGCAGAAGATGTTGCTGTTGTTTCAAATTTCCAGGTTATGTGACACAGAACCTTATTAAAATTCTGTACATTAATTGTACAAGATTTCCCAATGCTTTATTTATAAAAAGGCTTTAAGTAAAAACATGCATTGGATGTTGAAAAGTAATGTAAGAAGCTTGCTTTTGCGCAAATAATAACTTTCGAAACCCTCGAGTTTCCAGAAGTTCTTAAAAACTTCTAAGGCTGACGGTTCATTGCCTTACGTGGCGTGTGTCTTTGGATTTCTTCGCTGTTCTAGAGTAGGCTATGTAGTTACTAGCTATTCGATGATCATTGTGTACGTTTTGTTCGTGTTTTCTCCCAGGTGAAAATGTTGAGGCTATTGCATTTTGAGGTAGTTCATTTTGTTTTTAATTCCATATGTCTTACGTTAAGTTTTTCCACTTTACACGTGTTCTCGTGTGGTTTAGTTCGTTGTGTTATACCAGTTGATAGGTTCGACTGGTTCGTTAAGCTTTCTATTGATGGTAATCTAAGAATACTGTGGACGTGACAAAATTCAAAATTCAATATTTACAATTAATCTAGTACAGTCCTGATTTTACTGGAATGTTTATTAGTTTCCTAGGAAGATGGAGTGCGTAGGGTCAAGTAGTAAGTCGACTGTTATTGGAGTCCATCGACAGGATCGGACTTCTGGGGAAGCAACGTGGTACTGTCTCTCATCGGTCAAGTTCTTCTTCACTGATGTAACCGCCTTTCTTGCGTTCTTTCCGGTCTTTTACTCCGATGAGTCCGTTCATCGTCGTTCAAGAGACTGATCACAAATTATGCCCAGAGTTCAGACGATGCAGTGGATGATTTTTTCAACAAAATTTCGTCGTTCAAGAGACAGATCACAAATTATGCCCAGAGTTCAGACGATGCAGTGGATGATTTTTTCAACAAAATTTTCACTCCGAGTGCCTGTCAAGTGCAGAATCAATCCACGAAGTGACTTCCGTCGACGTCGACTCGCTGCTTGTCGAGCTGTGACGACTCAACCATCCATAGATGTTATATTTTTTACAGAAGTGTTCACCTGATTGAGTCGGTCCCTGTGAGATGTGACCCTACGTGACCCCTCTTTCCTCTTCAATCTATGAAAGAAGTGTTTAAAATGTGATAAATCGATCGTGAAGTAATAGTTAAATGGAAAAAGAGGATGAAAGGGCGAGAGAGAAAGAGAGAAAAAGAGAGAGAGAGAGAGAAAGAGAAAATGACACTTAATGAAGAAGAAAAAATAAAGAAGAAGATGGAATGATTGCTGGGCATTATTTACAAGTGCTAGCAAAAGCCTAACGTCAGAGCATCCTCGTCGAATTTCGAAGTGGGAACGGAGAGTCCAATTTTGGAAAAACCTTGGGCCTGTGTCGTTGCAGTGTTAGTGTATTTTATTATTAAAGAACAAGACTTCGGGAGGCACTCGCCGGTCTATTATCATATAGTGTTAGATAGGTTCACTATGAAGATACCAGATGTGTATTTATTGAATACATTTGTATACACTTGTGTTCAGTATAGTTATATTGAATGCATTGTATTCAATGAATGCAAATGTTGAAGTGCAATAACTAGCTGATTAAATAGGAAAGATAAATCAAATAATATTTACGAAGTTTTTAAACAATAAGGATACATACTTTATGAGCACTTTAAATGGTAAAATGCATCGCTGCGCGTCGATGACAGTGCAGGATGCATTTCTTAATGCAATAACAAGTGGAAACAAAATAGATGGTACCTTTTAATTACTCGCACAAGTGGCTTAATTATTCGCAGTGTTTTTACGAAGGACTAGATTTTGTAAATTTGCGCAATAATTTGCCATGTAAATCAATTAATTAAATGGTAAACGCTATCAGCTACTTATTACACCTAGAAATTTGTATTCTTGTGAAAGTATTCATTGAATGCAGATACGCCCGTCCGTGAGACTTATTGTTAAACAAGTTCAGTACAAAGCTACAGACTAATGGAAAGAAAATAAATCGGCCCAGGCTTTTTCCCGGCGATTGGACCCTCGTTCAGCTCACATAGACTGTTGTTAATTTGTAACGTTACTCATAGTAATCAGAATTGATTTCCGATAGGACAGGGTTCTACGATCTGCGCCGCCATGGAGATTATGTTTTACGAGATAAACAATTCCTCTTCAGAGTTAGGATCTTCAGTGTTATGGACATGAAACAATTATCAGACTGCGGGATAATCTTGGGCCGAAATTATCGGTGCAGTAAAACGATAAATGCGATTATCGTTATTCTTACAACACTTGGATTTCTTTTCGTTGCGACCCTGTTGTTAGATCTGTCTAGTAAAAGATCTGTCTCTTGTAAAAATAGAGGGAAAAAACTTAAGGTGAAGTGAAACACGTCAAGGAACTTAATCGACGTCAGTAAAGATTTTTCTAAGTACCTATGTTGTCAACGTTGGTTTTTATATCAAAAGCTGGGTCGGATTATATTGAGTATTGTACTAAATGGCATACTGTATATGTCGTTTTCGTACAATAATTATAAAGAAATCGAAGTAAAACTCCAGAAATCCTCTGGATTCATGGTTTCTGAAGCCCTCATTTACTGCAGAGGGACCCCCTGCGCCATCTGTGATTTCCATGTCAACTAAATTTTCACTCCGAGACCTTGTATTATCATCGTTTTAGCATAGCCGTTCATAAGACACTTTTTTTGCCTTTATCCCGTTCAAATGCGAGTTTCTCGATTATCAGAGTGTTCTAAATTGTCGTACAATTGTCCTGATCCTTTCGTTTCTCACATTAGAGCCTTGAATAATTGGATATCGATCGAAATATGAGAGCTCTACGCCATTTTGGTTTCGGTCTGGGCTAAGTTAACAAATTAATTTAAAAAATCCAAATTTTGAAAGGGTTGGGATAATTCCTAGGTGCTTGCGAATCATGTGTTAAAGTTTCAGACGGTGCTATCCAAGGCCCTTAAAAAAAGGGTTTTATTAGAATCGACTGATTTGAGAGGGGTTTCACTTCACCTTAAGATAACACGGAAAAGAGATTTAATTGATAAAAATGCCCAGGATTGTCTCATTTCCTGACCTTGGCTCTGTTCACGTTGAGACTGCAATTCGTTTAATGTATAACGCCCTAGGAGTCAATTATGATTTCCGATGTGACAGGGTTTCTCCATTTTTCACCTCTTGACTGAGGTACTTTATAAACTGAAAAAGTATGTAAGAAAAGGAAAAATGGATAAGGCTCGATTGATACTTCGGTGAACATTAATAGAGGGCTATTACTATCGTGTGATAACGGTGTGTGTATCGATTTTTCTAAGAGCCGTTGCGTATGCGTATTCTTTTCGGTCACCCTATGCATTTCTTCGCGACATTGGGCGAGGGCGCGGGAGGAGATGTTTACGTGAAGCGACAAAAAATTAATAAATAAATAAAGAGAGAAAAGAGCGAGCGAGAGAAAAAGCACACACACATATCCGCACAACAAGACATAGCAGCAAAATAAATAGGATTACTCAATTGAATTCACTACCTCAAATCAATAGAATATGAATTTACTGTAATGAAACTGGAACGGGGACGTTTACATCGACAAGCGCTCTCTTCCGCTATCGAAAGGAAGTGTTTTCTTTTTCTTTTCAATTCTTGTAATATTCATTAACAGTGAATTTATATTTATGTATCTCTGTATTGTACTTTGCGTAACGTCCTGCCAATCGCCATTTACGTTCCTTAAATACTGATCATAAGTACACGTTTGTTCTCCCCGTTTACTTGACGGCAGAAATACCTACTGATTGGTTTTAATAATTTGTAGCTATGTTATAAAGTTATTGTAAATTATGGAAAAATGTGCACGGAAAGAGGAGCATCTTACCAACTTTCTCGGAGCATCTCTCTGTACCAGTGTGTTCAGTATATAAAAGATCTTAGTCTGATCTTAGTTTTAAAAAATGTACTTGTCGCGGAACTCTGCCGTGTTCCCTGGCACCAGGAAAGGGAACGACATGCTTTTACATTACTACATGTAACTAGAAACATGAATTACCGTAAGACTATCTTCAGAAGCCAGAACTTTTCTTTTGAACGTATTTAAATTTTCTATCACATACACGTACGTATGTACACTGGGAGACATCAATGCCCTCCCATCCTGCACAGGCGATGCCGTATCTGCAGGGGAGGCATTTATGTCCGCCATTGTACACTGGGAGACATCAATGCCCTCCCATCCTGCACAGGCGATGCCGTATCTGCAGGGGAGGCATTTATATCCGCCATTGCACGTATGCATACGTACGTGTATGCGATAGAACATTTAAATACGTATACACACATACGTGTATGTGATAGAACATTTAAATACGTATACATACGTACGTGTATGTAATCGAACGACATTTAAATACGACCGACTTCGAATGGTTTTCTGGAAAATATTAAATTAGATTATTCTAAGCGAAGGCAATGCCATTTTGTTCTATCCCGCTTGATTTCTTTCGTGCACGTTTTGAATTAATTACCGAGAAATCTCGAGGTTTATTTAAATAAACATTCTTCCGTATACAAGCAAGCGCGCATGTCGATGGCGAAATGTCCTCGCGATGAAAGCATCAATAAAGCAACCCCTTGCGAATTCAAACGAAGCTGCCAAGTGATTACGGATGAGGAGCAAATAGGGGATTGCACCCAGCAGCAACTACAAAAAAAAATATAAAAAAAACTAGGGATAATTTATTAACTACATTCATAGTCTGAAAGAGTACGAATATATTTGGTTGATCGGTGAATTTTCTATACATCCTTTGACCGTGACGCGTCGACGTGCGAAAAAAGAGGTTTAATATACCTGTATATTACAAAGAAAAATGGTTATCATGGAGGTATTATTATCGATGATTATTATTAATTATTAATTATTAGTTCTGATTATTACGATTATTATGAACTATTATTATCATTATGTAGAAGGCTTCTTACTGACTGAATAAAATGTTTTCAATGTCTCTCTTGGGATCGAGTTTCGGTCCTTAATATATGCGGATAAACATGTGGAGGGCTCTTGGACCTTCTTGGAACCTCTTCGGAATCTTTCATGGGCTCGGGAAAATCCTACCAAATGGGAAGAAAATTCATTGGACATCTGTTTATCGATAGTGTGCTGTAAATCTTGATTTTTATGGCCTTCCCTCCATACTGCACACAATGCGTCTTTTGAATACTTAGGACTGGAACCGGAGATTTCGTGGGAAGGTTTCGCGTCCTTTCTTTTCGAAAAACCCTTGTACCCGTTATTATCTTTATATGGTTTAATTGATGTGTATTTAACGACTGTTTTATTGCACGGTACTTAAAATGTGTACAATCCTTTTTCCGTTTCGTCTTCCACTCTTACGGTGATATGAAAGTATGCGCTGCACGTGAAATTTCATTTTTGGAAAAAAATGTTGCATTTATCTCGGACAAGAACCAGAGAAAGATTTCTTATTTTAATGAGAAATTAAATTTCACGAGCATCGCGTTCTTCCTTAGAGCCTCAATAATCACGTGCTGAAGTTCCAATTGATTCGGTGCACTCAGTTTGAAGAAAAGTTTTATAAATATTTTGACGTTTTATATATATATAAAATGACCCTTCATGTCACCTTAATACGTTTTATTCTTTCTTATCATCTTGATACGCCGCTTTAATAATCAAGTACTGAAGTTCCAATTGATTCGGTGTACTCAGTTTGAAGAAAGGTTTTATAAATATTTTGACGTTTTATGTATATATAGAATAACTCTTTCATATCACCTTAATACGTTTCCTGTCACGGGTATCGTTTTCAAAATTGAGATCAATTTTCAGGCATAGTGATGTTTTTGTCATTGCTGAATATAGTGCAAAAACTTTTCTTGATATTGTTACGTGCTTTGGAATGTTTATAGCCTTTTTTAAGCTGTAAGTCGATAACCGGATATGCAGTATATAGGGTAATAGTTTGAAAAATTAGCGGGACAAAATTATATACATGAATAACCAATTACTTGTATGTACTTGATACCCCACCATAACTTGAGAAGGCCCGTAAAAACAAAGATAATGTATTTTGGGAAGGGCAAATGAGCAAAGTGTACACGAACAATGTTTATTTCAGGTACAAAGTATAAAAATAAAACATAATTCCAAACAAATAAGTAATTTAAAACATTGTAGCATGGGGCTCATGGGCTTTGTTACTTGAAGGAGTAAATAATAAGGCCCAGGGATATCGATGGGAGGATGCACATTAATTTGCACAGTTAGGGCAAATTATGTCATCAAGATCCTCGAATGTTGTCTTCGAGCATTCTTCGTAAAGCCATTTTTTACACAGGGCACGTTGCCGCATATCGGCAACCCTATTTTATTGATAAAGACTGCAGTCCCAGTTCTCGTTCTTCTTTGAGGTATCAGGCTTCGCTTTTCTTAAGATATTTCGCTCAATTTTTGTCACGACGTTGTATTTACTGCAACTAGTCATAGTTTCATGTCCTTTTTATAAAGATCTTTGGATGCGCTGTGTTGCCCCATGTCGGGCCTTTTTCCCCGTTGGCGCAATTTTCATTACCAAGTTACAATTTCTAAAATAAGAAACCTTTTCAACAAAATTAATACAATAGTATGCAGAGAAAAGTATAATGGTACTACATATGAGCCGCTCAGTGCACACATTGATTAACTCCATAAAACAAAAAGTTGAGAAATGCGATGAAGTAATGTAGATTCTTTTTTAAAATTCCTATTATAGTATAACTTCAAATATATAATGTAGAATACATAAATACAGTTATAGTTTTCATCTAACGGTATATAAAATTAATAAGAAAGAATAGCCAAAAAATAATCGTCTGCATTTTATATCGACAAATGTTTTTGCAGGTATTAAATTTCCTCCCCTATTCCTGTATGCCAAAGCTTTTGTTCCGTTATGCTTTTATAAATTTCGTGCCCATTTATCAGGATCACGACTTCTTTTCCTCCCAATCGATGTGTTTGTTGGGGAATTTGTACCGTTGCAATCGGATGAATCCGAGAAACGCGATAAACGTCTTCTTGCCCCAGACTTTCTGCTGATAAATCGTATTGAAGAATCATCCCTGCTCTCCACATCCACATTGATATTAGTTTCACTCATCTTGATTATAACGGTATAATATTTAGTTCTTTAAAAACAATCAGGGAGTAATGTTGAAAAGACCAAAAAATATGTAGTCCGTGTAATATTGATGAAGTATACGGTAACATTCAGCGTGAGAGATCCCTGTTATACTAACTACCGTCTGCATTGCGCTTCTTTCTATCTGTTTGCTGATGCGATTTTATTACTCATATCGTTGAAAGGGGGAAAGCATCTTCGGCTGTTTAAAAAAAAAAGCGTCGATGTACGGCCGCAACAGATAATCCAATAATACTATACTGCCAGGTATTCGTCTACGATTTACATTAGAGTATGGAGTTAATCAAAATGGCTTCTGAAATAAATTACTTATTATTCAATGCTCAAAAAAATTTTGCCGTTTAATGGTGTTAATCTCTATTAATCGGGAAAGATATTATAAATATAAAAAGTTATGACTATACCAAGTGCTGACACCTAAATTTAAGATTTTTCAAAAAGTGGAGTTAGTCGATGTGTGCACTGAGCGGCTCATATGTGGCTAGACAGAGCAGTACTATAATATTATTTTGATAATAAAAAGTGAAATTAAATGTGTTGTTTTTCTTTAAATATTATTATATTAAACTTCAGTTCATCCTTTCTAATAATTCCTGACTCGAACAACTATACACTTATTCCGTGACAAGTTGCAAACAATTCAGATAAACTTGTAGAGCACACTACGAGATGTTTCGTAGCCGGTAGTCTTGGTACATACGCTTACTACGAGATATCTCATAGTTGGCAGAAAATGGGTTAATCGTTGTAATAGTTTTATGGATAGTAAGGAAAACATTTTGTATAATCTTTAAACGAGCCGCACGATTATGGGTTTAAAGAGACGAACGATCGGTGTAATTCGTACCTTCCCCGCCGAACGGCGCTGCGGTGGCGCGCCTAGTGACATTTCGGCCGGCTTGTGCGCGCGGCCACATTCCGTCGCCGTCCCGCGCGACGTTCAGTTGACGGCGCGAGCAACAACACCACGTCGTCGGGGGTCCGTTCAGCGCACGGATCTGCGTAACGTGTAAAGCCCGTGGCACAGCTGCCGAGGAGGTCAGTGCTTGTTGAAGAAGCTCTTTTACTTCGATTCGTTATTTTTTTTTTTTTGAGGTTATGCGACATCCGTCAACTAATCGCAGCCTATTGTTCGCGCGAGCTTTCTCTTGGCGCTCTCCATTTTCTACGTTGCTCCGCGGCCTGTCGCGAAACAAAAACAAAAGGTTTCCCCCTCTTGCTGGTTATTCCGTGAAAAATGAGATTTTTCGTTTCCGCAGCGTTTTTCGCGCTATATAGGTTATACCCGTTACCTTCGAGTTGCAGCAATTTCGAAGTATTCAGCGGGATTCTGCGCTCGGTTTTCTCTTTCCCCCTCGCCGTTGTACGTGTTTGTTGTCGCGCTCTTTCCTACGACCCTCGGTCGCCCATCCGAGATTCGTCCTCTCTGTTGCGCTCTTTCTCTCTGGCGACACGAGATTGCCCCACACTCTCTCTCTCTCTCTTTCTCGCTCTCGGTTCCTGTTTCTCTGTCCCTCTAACGCGTGGCGCCTTACGAATTATTTTTACCATACTCTAGTGCGTTCGCGGACGATCGCTCGCGCGATTCGCGCAAGATATCTCGGTGTGTCTCTTTGGTTCCAGCTAGATGCATGACAGCTCCGAGCTTCCGAGTATTAGGAAGCAGGGCGCAGGATGCAGTGGGTTTCAAAGGGTCCCCTAGAGGTGTCCTTTTTATTTGATGGGTTATTTTTAAGCAGAACGACTCATCTCCGTTTGTAAAGCATGTGCTTATAGGTCTTTTAATGTATTCGAAGCATTGTGGCCTCTTTGAAGGGGTGTTTAATTGATTATGCGATTGATTATGGATCGTCATAATAGGTAAAGGAGTTTGGAACAATGGCCACCACACAAGTAAACAGAGCAAGGACCATCAAGAAACTCGAGAAGCCTCGGCCGCTGAAGCTTCAGCGCCACGCAACCGTCGATGGACGGATTACGACTGGTAAACTGTGGTTTTGAGTTAATCGGACTAAGTGCGATGACTAGAATGGATTTAATTACAAAACTGTGATTTCAGTGGAGGACATTGTGTCCTTGATCGATACCGTTACGATGCACCTTACAAATGGCTATTTCGATCGAACCCTGCAAATGAACGTGATTACAATGTGTAATCACCTTAAGCTGTATGCTCATCAGTTGGAAGCCATTTACAAAGGTTTGCGAATTTATTACGTTAAAGACATTGATCCGAGAGATGGTAAACTCTAGTGATAGTTCTGAAACTATCGATTTGTTTGCATTGAACTTTCGTGTTGCTAGACCAACTGGACAGAGCGTTTGTAGCTATTAGAAATGGAAGCCAGGACGAAAGGCTGGATGTAACGACTAGGGTTTACTTGCTGGAGTTGATTGAATTGAGAGCTAAGCAATGGCATCATACGGACTCGATGGATGCCTACTATTGCCAGAAATTGTCGCATTTAGATACTGTAAGTTAATTCTAGAATTTAGATGTATGTATTTTTAGAAAATAAGATTTATTTGTCAAGCTAAACAATTTGTTGGACTATTTGCAGCAAGGAGATGTGACAACCCCTGAAACACCTTCGAGTCTGTTAACGTCGCCTCTAATTCCGATGTCTTCACCCGTCGCTGCTCCCATTCTAGGACCAGGCGAAGTGATAAAGAACAGTGGAAAGTTTGCGAAGCCCACACGAATCGCTGGGAAGAATTACTGCAAGGATGAAGTTGTCATACGTAACAGTGACTCTGGGAAAGGTGAGTGACTGACTAGTCAAATATTAATAATTTTTATTGTATACTACGTAATAGTTCTCCAGTTACACCGTTATGATGCACTATTCCTATGTTGAGCCTTTACGATAACGTTACTTTCTCTATGCATCCTATTTATATTCCGTGTTAAATGAAAACTGAGTTAGCTTTAGGTAGAATCAGTGTATCCCTTAAGTAATGTCGACTGCGATCTTAATTACTTTAAACGAATGAACAGTGATGGGAATAAAAGGGCGACGGGTTCACATGATCGAAGAGCTCAGCGAGACGATCATCTCCTTCCAGCGAGGTAAAGCCAACACAGCGCAAGCAGCTCTTCAGCATTAAGCTCGTGCCTCGCATTAATAATCCGCCCTCGACAACTGATGTTTCTCTTCTCTTCACTCGTGTTCTAATTTCTACAACAATTAGAGATCCTTAATCATCCCCCTGTTCTTGTATCGTAATCTTAATCCTGCATCTCTGCAAAGCAGGTACCGGTGGTCTAATGACGTGTATAATTCGATTCCAATCAGTTTCTGCGATTCAAGTCATTGCTAAAACCTTGCATGGGTATTTAACAGAGAATATTACTGCAACAAAAACATGGTACTTACATTTGTTCGCACATTTCTTATTGTTTTTCTTTAAATGAATGTGGCCTTCTCGCTTTTCACTTTTCCTTGCAGGCCTTCTGGGAAGTCATCGCGTATCAATTGATTAATGTTTACACCACGAATTTGTTATTCAATAATTGATTCATTAATTATTCTACTCGATGCAATTAGCAAGGTCTTTTATGCGCTCCAATGTGGAAGCACTTTTTAGGGACTCGAAATTTGAGTTATGTGCAGAGTTCTGGAAAAAAGAAAATATTAGAGTGATCAAGTGCCGTTTTTTTTTTCCTTTTCTTTTTTTACACGTTTAAACTATACCGTTTTAGTAGGGCAGGCGTTGATGTGACTTTACACCCTGCTAGAAGAAGCTTTTGCTCTTATCGCAAGCTGTCTTTCCCCTGCGACAATGAAATGGACACTGCGAAAAAGAATTAGTGCACCATGCGCGCGGCATGTAGTATACTATGAATCTAACAAGCAACCCTTTTAAATCATTCGAAGCATCCAAACGCATTAACTGGCAGCGAAGGCCCTGTTCGACAGTCTGAATTAACGCGTGGATTAATGATTGCAGTAACAGTCGTTTAAACGTCTATATTAAAAGTTTAATCACTCTTATACGTTGTTCCAGTAAATCCTGGAGCCAAAGAACGACTTGTCCAAATAACGGGGACCTCCGAGGACAAGATACAGTGAGTTCCTATTATAACGCAGTGACATTCCTCTGTTTACTTTTTCTCTCTCCCCGTCTTACATTGTTTTTTTTTTTGTAAACTCTTTTAGACATAACCTATGCAACAGATATAACATTCGTTATGAACTGGGTTTAGGGATAAAACATCTCACCGAGACTTTGTGGACATACAATCCTTTGAATCTCGTTTAACATATTGCATTCTTTTTATTTCCTCTTATCTATCACTTTGTTAGTTGAGCTTTCTTATTCGTTCATGTTAAGGTGAAGTGAAGCACGTCGAGGAATTTGATCAACGTCTATAAAGAAGATTTTTCTAATTGCCTACGTTGCCAACGTTCGTTTTTATATTGACAGCTGTATCAAATTATATTGGGTATTGTACCAAGTGGCATACTCCACCTGTCGTTTTCGTACAATAATTATAAAGAAATTGAAGTAAAACTCCAGAAATCCTCTGGGTCCATACTTTGTGGGGCCCTAATTGACTGCAGAAGGACCCCCTGCGCCATCTGTGATTTTCAGGACAATTAAATTTTCACTCCAAGACCTCGTATTACCATCGTTTTAGCATAGAAGCGCATACAACACTTTTTTTGCCTTTATCCCGTTCAAATGCGAGTTTATCGACTACCAGAGTGTTCTAAATTGTCGTAAAATTGTCCTGACCCTTTCGATTCTCATATCAGAGCCTTCGATAATTGTATATTGATCGAAATATGAGAGCTCGACGCCATTTTGGTTCTGATCTGGGCTGAGTTGAAAATTTTTTTGAAAAATCCAAATTTTGAATGTGTCAGGACAATTGTTAGATGATCAGGAGTGATGTGTCAAAGTTTCGCACAGTTTGGTCTAATACCCTTAAAAAAAAGTGTTGTATTCGAATCGACTCATTTGAAGGGGGTTTCACTTCACTTTAACGACATGTTATTAATCTATTTACCTCTGTTTCCCTCCTTCCAGTTATGCGAAGGATCTGATAAAAGATACGATACAGCGAAACGCATCACCGGTGCGACTGGAGCAAGGTGGAGGTGAGAAGGGCGGCATCGGTGGCTCGAGCTCGTCGCTGAATAGCAGCGCCTCCGACGAGAGCAATCGGCTGCAACAGCAACAACAGCAACAGCAGGGCTCACGTTCGCGCTCCTCCCTCCTCCACAGCTTCTCCACCAACGACGCCAGCATCGGCGAGTACAAATACACCGTTACGGTCGGCAACCACTCCCTCAAGATTACAGGGTGTAATCTAGACCTCGTCAGGGTGAGTTGGTGATCGCTCTCTACTGGAAGCGGCGTTACTGTAAAAGTCAGAGCAACTGTAAGCCCGTCACATATATCTCGCGTTAACAGTAGCCAAAGAATTCAGAAGTCTCCATAGAAGCCCAGAAGGATTAGAGTTCTAAATCCAGTAAGTTACGTCAGAAACGAAGAGAAATTCCCGGTAACTTATCGGTAATTTCTCCAAAGCCTTTTTTATCGAGAAATTATGAGAATTTGAATATTTCAACAGAGCGAACGAGAGGTTTCGATTAGCTATAGAGAAACATCGTAGAGGGGAATTTCCGTTGTACGTCCTCCGTAGCCAATCAAAACCTCCCATTCGCTTAGTCGCAGAATGAAATATCAGTTCGTTTGAAACAAATCGCATGGAATTTTCCGTGAAGTTGTACATACGTGAATATTTTTAGCTGGAGGTAAATACGACCCTATAATCAATATTTTCTAATAGTAATTATTACTCTTTAGCTTGAACTTTGAAGTTGATCGAAAAAAAAAAAAAAAGTTATTTAAACGAAGAAACCTAAAGTATAAATAACAAAATTAACGTTCTCTTAAATTCTCAATGTTCCCGGTAATTTACGGTATGTTTCACAGTTACCTTCTCCAATTTAATGTTACCGAGAATTTTCGAACTCTAAGAAGGATACGGACGTTTGATGCTCGATAAATAGTACGTTAAGCCAACGGATGGCGGCGCTGTAATCATCTTTCCATCTCTCTTAACCGTTTGAGTCCCAGGGGGTATTGAAAAAACCCTCTCAAAGAATCCCGAACAGCGCAATCGCACTTTCTCTAAATGAGTACGAGAAGACTCAAGCAGCGCGATAGCGCTTCTTTTATTTTATGTCGATAAATCCCAAGCGGCGTGATAGCGCTTCGTTTATTTTATGTCGATGAATCCTAATCGGCGCGACAGCGTTTCTTGAATTGTAAGATGTATTATTTACATTAAAAGAAGGAGATGTACTTGGGTGAGTAAATCTGAGCGCGCGACTTCGACAATCGGTGACGTACCGCTAGTTGTCCACAACGCTCGAAATGTGTTGGGTTTTCTCGACATAAAATCTGAACAGCGCGATCGCGCTGCTTGGGACTCAAACGGTTAATTTTATGGCGATATGTAGCGAATTGCATTCTTTCATTATCCTACTCACAATACTCGCCTTTCTATATGCGTATCTCTTCCTCCCGTATGTAAGATATCGTTGGCTAACACATGCGATCTCTCTTTTACTCCCACTTCTGGTTTGTTAGCCAACTTTTAGAGTATCAAGCGCTAACATAGGATCTGGGCTTCTATGAGACTTCTGAATTCTTTGCGGTAGGGCAATGGTGGACGTAAGAATCCGTAATTCAAATTGATGACACGGGACGCCGTCCTACATCTTCTAGAATTTGATTGTACGGTTTTTACTGTTATGTTTATGGTTATTTTATGCGAGGTATTTGTGAAGGTTTAAGGTGAAGTGAAACATGGTAAAAACAGGGTTTTATAATTACCATTGCAGACGTTCGTTTTTATATTAACCGCTATGTCGAATTATATTTAGTATTGTACTGGCATACTCCACCTGTCGTTTTCGTACAATAATTATAAAGAAATCGAAGTAAAACTCCAGAAATCCCCTGGATTCATGGTTTCTGAGGCCCTAATTCACTGCAGTGACACCTTGCGCCATCTGTGATTTCCATGTCAACTAAATTTTCACTCCGGGACCTCGTATTACCGTCGTTTTAGCATAGAAGCGTATAAGACACTTCTTTTGCCTTTATCCCGTTCAAATTCGCGTTTATCGTTTACCAGAGTGTTCTAAATTGTCGTAAAATTGTTCTGACCCTTTCGTTTCTCATATCAGAGCCTTCGATAATTGTACATTGATCGAAATATGAGAGCTCGACGCCATTTTGGTTCTGGTCTGGACTAAATTAAGAAAATTTGTCCAAAAATCCAAATTTTGAATGCGTCAGGGCAATTCTTAGATGATCAGAAGTGATGTGTCAAAGTTTCGGATAGTTTGGTCTAATACTCTTAAAAAAAAAAGTGTATTCGAATCGACTGATTTGAAGGAGGTTTCGCTTCACCTTAAAGTATGCAAAATGTATGAGCGAGTGTATAAACGGATAAATCGGGAGATCCTCACGCGCCCTTAATGTTTCAGACTGCGAAGTTAGTCCTAGACGAGTACTTCTCGGGTGATCCGGAGAACCTCGCAGCAGGTATCGAGTACTTCAGCTTCGAGGAGGAGCCCTCCTTCGTTTCGTCGAATTCATCGGTGCCGCTGACCCCTTTGACCCCTCTGACCCCTCTGACCCCGTTGACTCCGGCGATGGCCAGCGCCCTGGGTCGGGATATCAACCTGGAAAGCGGGATCGCCTCGGAGGGCGAGGAAGTCTTCAAATCTAGGAACAGCTCCGGATCTCAGTCGGGTCTCATCGAAGATGGTGCGTTTGTCAAATTGCCAAGTAACGCTGAACATACACGTAAACTAGAGAGGGAACCATTGCGTTACGTCTTCACTGGGTGCGCTTACATTTTCATTTCCAATTTGGTACTTGAGGCGTCGAAAGGAACATTATACCTGGCCTTGAAACAAATTGAATGGTAAAATTGACAACAAACTTTATCTCGATGCTTAGATTACCTTAGCTGTTACCTTTATGACGAATGTCAGTAAGAGCTATTGGGTTGTTCGGAAAGTAATTTCGTTTTTTTTTTTTTTTATGAAAATGAAAGACGATTTTTTTATAGCGAATAAATATTTTATTGAATTATATATTGTCCATTCCGGTCCAATATCTTTTGCCATTTTTCTGGCAGTAGCATGATTCCACGCTCATAAAATGTTTGGTTTTTGCTGTCAAAAAACTGATCGAGGTGATTTTTGACCTCCTCATTTGAAGTAAAGGTTTTCCTATCCAAATTTTCAATGTGTCAGGACAGTTCTTAGATGATCACGAGTCATGTGTCAATGTTTCGGACAGTTTGGTCCAATACCTTTAAAAAAAAGTGTTTTATTTCAATCAACTGATTTGAAGGGGGTTTCGCTTCACCTTAAGCGGCCGGTGGTGGGTCGAAAGATATCTCATCCTAAAGGACGAAAGGGCAGGGTTGGGTAATACCTCATTTTTTTGAGGTTTTTGACGTATATTACGTAACAAAGTAGTTTACCGGAGAAAATCGTAGAAAACCAGTAAATTGCGTTTCCAATATGAAGAATGCCGCAGATGGACGATATACGGCTTCTGCTAGGTTATAAACGTCTTTTAGCACACATGTAGACACGGAAATATTTTAACGAACAATGAATTCAATTTGGCGCTTGTATTCCAAATTGTTTAGAATTTTACGTTTTCAATATGGCGGATTCCAGAGAAGCACGACATATATGTATTCGCGAGGTTAACGCCTTTTAGCGTGCACATAAACACGTAAAAATTGTTAAGAGATAATTAATCCGGCATTTGTGTTCAAATTCTTTCGACTTAACCCTATTTAATATCAAATCTCTAAGTGGATTTGTTATTTTCTATTTGAAAAGAGGAAGGCGTAATGTATATTGCGCTTGCGTAGACAACTAGGAAGGTATTTTACGTTGTAACATACACGTAGAAAACCACGTATACTACATGACATATTATACTTACCCAACCCTGCGAAAGGGTTAAAAATGATTCTTGTGTGTTATGAATAAATTATGCTTTTCTTTTCATGCACGGTTTACAGGCCCGGTGAGCAGGGTGCTGACCTACGAGTTTCTGTTACAATGCTCAACGGGACCTTACGCGAAGCGACCCCCTGCAGACTGGGTTCGCATACAAAAGGAACACCCGAATATCGTACGCAAGGTATACAACACCGACAACAACGCTAATCATTTAACTTGCCGAGCGAGCGACATTAACACGAATCGAAACTGCCTGAACGATTGCTATCGCAACGGCGTTCACCTGTTCAGCCGCAACTAATCCCGCTGAACGTGGTTTAACTCCTCTTAACTGTCCCTCCATTATTTCGAGAATCTCAACCGTGTAACTCGCGATGCATCCGTGGAACGGCGCTCTTAAAGAATGTATCACGATACTCGTAATGGTTGTACAATGGCGGACATGAATGCCTCCCCTGCAGATACGGCATCGCCTGTGCAGGATGGGAGGGCATTGATGTCTCCCAGTGCACAATTGATGGATATTTCACTTGGTAACGCTTGAGTAACGATTTCACTTGATAACGTCTAATGATTTGATTTGAGAATATTACGTAGAGCTTCATTTGAATTAGGAAAGGTATACAAATAACAGACCGGCTGGGTGAGACGTTTTGAAAACGTTAATCGGTTTGGAAGTTGTACATCTCTTGGAGGGTGTGTATTCAAAATGTGGGGGCGAGAATTTTGGGACTAGATTCATGATCCGTTTGGCTAATTTAAAGTGATATGAAAGTGTCATATATACATACGTACCAAAAAGTCAATATATTTATAAAACTTTCCTCCTAATTGGGCGTAACTAATCATTTGAAACTTTATCACGAGATTGTGGAGGCCCTAAGGGAGGACGCGATGCTCGTGAAATTTCAGTTTTCAACGAAAAAGTTTGTATTTATCTCGGATATGATCCAAAAAGACTTTTTTTTTTCGAAAAATGATATTTTACGAGCATCGCGTTCTTTCTTAGAGTCTCCATAATCACGTGTTGATGTTTCAGATAATTCGGTGCACCGAGTTTGGAAAAAAGTTTTATAAATACCCCCCCCCCCCCACACACACACACACACACACACACACACACACAATGGCCATTTCATATCGCCTTAAGTGAATCATAAATTGATCACACGCATAGATTAAGGTTTCTTCGTTGCGATCTCTCTTTGTTGCCGAAACATGAATCGAGCTCTGTACAAAGAACTTGCAACTGAAATACTCCTCCATTATGTATATATCGGAAACGTCGGATGATCATTATGAAAGGAACAAAAGAGAATACTCTGAATTGTTCTATGAAGTAGTGGCACTTGTCCATGAATTTACTTAATTTTCATTCTTTTTTTTTTTACCACTTGCGTTTCACAGACAAGACATTCACCATACGAAATTCGTGATACAATTGTTAAAGAACGCGTCTAGAAATGCGTCTCGAGTGTACCGTGGTGCAAAAATGTAAATCGTTAGTTTTTTCTTCATTTTATTATTTTTTATATTAATCAACGTTCTCTTTAATTTGAGACCGACGAGAGGTGCGATCGTCGGTAGCGTAGTACATTTTTTACGCCAAGAAGGAACCGGAAGTCAAAGAAGTAGGCGGATAGATTTTCGCAAATGAACACTACCAATCAAGTATTAGAGAGATAAGAGTGAGAAATAAGGAAAAGAGTTATAATTATTTGTTATCGTTGCATTTCATAGTTTTCATATAACACGCCAGGTCGTGGTTTACTCCAGAAGATATAATAATTTTATCTTGCTCTCTATATTTTTTATATTTGTTTTTGGATCCTGAAAAGATAGCGTTCGATCAAACGAAAATCAGGGGGAAATTTTCGTTTAAGCAGAGTAATTTAAGTAATAGCAAGGATAAGAGTGATAGTGTTTAATTAACGTGATGATGACCAAAGAACGTTCGATGCCATTGATATTGTAAAACGACAATTTTCCAAATACATTTGGGCAAATACTTTTTTTTTTTTTCTTTCTTTCGGGGATTCTCGCGTGGAATCGATAAGCCACCGGAAATTTTATTTTTGGAAAATTGACGCATTACTGTATTATGCAGGTCGAAAATCAATAAGGGTATTCCTGAAACCAAAAATTCCATTAAACGTAAAAGGAAAGTTATAAATTTAATATGCATTTTTGAGAGGTCATTAATGCAGTAGATATGCAACAGTTAAGGTGATAATAATAACGTTGTCTCGAAGCCGAGAGATGCGATAGATATAAAAAGACTTTCGAAAATTAATTGATAGTAATGTTAACGCTTAATTAAAAAATTGAAAAAAAAATGAAAGATATTCTAAATTACTCTTAAGAAAGAACAATTGTCGATGTCGATTTCAAAATGACAGAGAAAAATTCAGGATTGCGAAAAGCGAAATTCAATTCCAGTCCCAATTAATTATAACGCTTAATACATTCCACCATACTTTTCAGCTGTATTAATTAAAAGTCAGCTCATCAATAATGCTTGTATGAACAATTGTTAAATCTGTTGCATGATATTTGTTGTTTATTGGCTCCTGTTCATAACAAATATTTCTGAGTTTAAAGTACGATTTCGCATTTAACTAGAGAAAGTGTCTGTATGTATATTAAGGATATGAATTCCTATATTCAATTTTAATAACACTTCGTTACGACTTAGTTTCAGAATTATAAGAAATTCATGACGCAGTTAATTTGATAATAATCGTTGGTTTTTTCAATAATTAGTAAGACACGTGCATTCGAGGGGTCCGTCCACTTTTAAGTTGTTAACCGGATATGGCAAAATTTCTCGTCATACCAAGAAGACACCTCAATTGGGCATGACGACTTTTCTCGTCATGGAAATTTTTAAACATAATATATACGAAGAAAAAAGTCCCCATTGTGAAACGAGTTGTAGAAAAGTTAATTCCCCGGTTACCAGGTTAACTAGCGGAATCATAAATGCATCGTTCTTGTTAGATGTTGCAGTCGTTTGGAAACACCAGACAATGTTGCAACACCCTTAAAATGTGTACTGCAAATCGAATCTTTCGTTTCTGACTTAGACTGTGACATGAACTATCAAGAAACTCGGTAGAGTTTCGAGCCAAATACATTTGAGCGAGAAACTCGTATTTATAATACTCGCGGCACATGTACACTGGGAGACATCAATGCCCTCCCATCCTGCACAAGCGATGTCGTACCTGCAGGAGAGGCATTCATGTCCGCCATTGTACTGAATAATGCAGCATCATACATCCGCATGTCAACGAAAAGCTCACCTATGCATTTTGCCCGACCACCCGCCTTAACAGATCATTGATAAACAATTAACATCATGTAACGTACTGCCATCACCGTACATCACGAAAGTCCACAAACCGAGGATCATGGAAAAGCTCAATTAAAAGGGGTAATATATGGGCTATGTTAATCCATAGTAAACGAAAAACGAGACAAAAGAAATGTTACATTTTTGTTCATTTAAAGTGATATGAAGGTGAGATATGTACATAAGAAAAAGTCAAAATATTTGTAATACTTTTCTCCAAACTTGGTGCACCGAATTATCCCGAATGACCCTAAGGAATAACGCGCTGCTTATGATATTTCTTTTTTCGACAAAAATATACTTATCTCGAACAAGAAGCAAAAAAAAATATATATATTTTTTTTTAATGAAATTTCACGGGCAGCGCGTTCTTCCTTAGAGCCTCCATAATCACGTGTTAATGTTTTAGATAATTAGGTGCACCCAGTTTCGAGTAATGTTTTATAAATATTTTGACTTTGGTATGTATATATCACACTTTCATATCACCTTAAGGGGGTATTCTCCTTTGAGCCTTAAAAATTCTATAAAGACTAGTCGCACCAACGTTTTAATTAAAATCTTTGATTAGGAATTACTAAACGCGATTAGAATTATTCACTCTATTTCGGATGATTATCTGATAGTGGATTGTTATTATCGATTAAGCCTAATTCTTGTCGGTACAACATGAATTTCCCTAATCCGAGATTAACTAATCCCGATTAAGGATTTTCATGGTAGTTACGGTTAGAGTAACTGGCCCTAAGAATTTTTCTCGTAGAAAAAGGAAAAAGAAGAAATACGAGAAGGCTATCTTTTTGTCACGACTGTAAATTTCTAGCTGTACGTAGAATTATGCCGTTTTGAAAAAAAATCAAGCCTTAATCGTTGCGCGTTCGCATTCACGTTTTTGGACACATTATCTAATTCCTTCAGAATTTGCATTAGATATTTTTTTTTTTTTTTGAATCGGAGAATCCGGCATCAACTCTCAGTTATGTTTTCGATAGTTTTGTTGCTATTTTGCGACGGTAATCTGGGAATTCTTAATAATCGGGAATGTTGATTCTCAGTAATAAAATTGTAGTAATTTTTACATTTTTCTTTTCTTTTTTGTTCTTGAAGAAGACAGCTTTTTCATAAATGTTTCTTGTTAAGCGTCAGGTAATAAGATCAGAAGGTACAAAATACGTCTGAAAGTCGGAGTAACGAACCTTACTAAATTTCAAGACCATTTGTCAAATTTTCAAGTTTTTTCTTTTTTTTTTTTTTTTTCTATCCAAAATAAGCGAATACCCCCTTAAGGAAGGTTCTCGAAGTGGACTTCGGTAAAGGAAAGACGTGCAGAAGTGTTTTTAATTTCGATTATTCCATTTCTTTTTTTAATTGAGATCGTGTACGGGCGGTAACTAGCCGAAATATTTGCGGGTACGGTGATTGGTTTTACATATTCGAGGTTTAGCGGGCTGCTAGATTTACATCACACACAGCACCAGGAAGTGGTACTGGGAACTGAAAATTATCTATCACACGACAGACACCAGAGCCCTTTAACAAAGCCTCACCCTATCTTTCGAGCATGTTGCTTCTAACAACGTAACCCCAGGTAAGCACTTTCCCTCCAACTGCATTCGCTAGTTGCGTTTCCTACATTTAAGGTGATATGAAAGTGTGATGTGTATATAAGAAAACGTGAAAATATGTATAAAACTTTTCTCCAAACTGGGTGCACCAAATTTGGTGCACCCAGTTTGGTGTTAACGTTAGTAAGGTAGTAAAACGTTAACACGTGATTATGGAGGCTCTAAGGAAGAACGCGCTGACCGTGTCATTTCATTTCTCGACAACATAATATATGTTTTTGGTTCTTGTTCGAGATAAGTAGACAATTTTATTCGATATAAAATAAAAATTTCACGAGCAGCGCATTATTCCTTAAAGCCTCCATAATCACGTGTTAATGTTTCAGATAATTCGGTGCACCCAGTTTGGAGAAGAGTTCTATGTACATATCACACTTACATATCACATTAAATGCCTAGAAAAATTCATCGATCAATTAATTAATCGTTGCCCCTGCAGTGCATTCGCTAGTTGCGCTTCCTATATTCTATTGCCTAGAACGATTAATCGATTAATTAATTAATTGATTTCCTTGCACCTCCGACGGCCACCTTAAGGTGATATGAAAGGCGCTGAGAAATTTAATTGAGGTCGATGAAACAAAATTCATCTACCCTTTTTGGTGGTAATGCCACTTTAAATACTCAAGTTGTAACATAAGCTGGCGCGTCCCGTTACCGACGTTTATATTTATGTTGAAGTTTACAGTCACGTTGAGAATTATACTGAGGCGTTCCATATATCATTTCGGTAAAGTAATGATAAAGATATGGACGTAAAACTGTTGAATTCCCATGAATTCATTATTCTAACAACTGTTTAGGACCAATGTCGCCATCTGTGACGTTTAGCTGCAACTAAATTTTTACTCTAAGAGCACGTGTTAGCCATGGGACAAGCCAGCATTCTTTTGCAATCGTTAGTGAAGGTATTTTCCATATTTTCCCATCTGACTGTAATATTCCATTTGTACGGTATTCTAAATTGTTCGAGGCAGGTCCTGAAACTCTTCATTTTCGATTCTAAACCTCCAAGAAGCGTAAAACATCAATAACGTGCCCGGACCACGCCATGTTGGTTCTAGTCCATGACAAATAAATTAATTTTTGATGAAAAATGAAATTTCAAGACCTACTTTAGGGCCTCCATATTCCCGTGGTAAAACTTCAAACGAATCGGTACTCCAATTACATTATATACTTTTCCCAACGATTTGACCTCTCAAATATACACAGGCTGACTCTTTTATATCCACTTGAAAGTTTTAAATAATTTGGTGCACCTAGTTTGGAGCAAAAGTTTTATAAGTATTCTCACGTTTTAATACATATAATGTGACCCTTTCATATCACTTTACTATTGTTTCAAGTCACTTTTTGATTGACTTGAGATTTAACCCTTTGCGGACGATGCCGCCACAGTGGCGGCATGATGTCATTAATGATCACGAAATAACTCTCTGTAATTTATACATAGAAAGTAAAGAAAAAAATAAATTTGCTAAAGGGTTAATTCTCCTTTCTTATTCCGAGTACAGGTAGCCCTCATGCAACACGGCATCCTATAACATGGTTTCGCTCTAACATGCTAGAATAAATTGCGGGAACACTGTTTCGCTCTAACACGATAAGAAAATTGCGAAAACCTTTGTACAACACTGTACTCCTACTTCACTGGACAATATGATTTTTGTTTAACATATTTAAAAATTAAATTACCTTAAAATAATGACGGGAAGGAATAATCAACTATAGTGCCTTTACATGAGAAGAATATTTCTCGTTTTTTTTTTCTTTTTCGTTTTGTGTTATACATACACTTATATTTTTAATAAAAATGAAGTTGCTGATATGGAATTAAAAAAAAAAAAGTGTTTGCTTTTAATAGGTTCTCGGAACATAATCCCCCCTTTTTGTCCTGGCTCTGACAAGGAAACATTCCCAAGTGTCCGCCCCCGATCTTATTGATTTTCATATATGTTGAAGAACACAAAAATCTAAGAGACACGTGTTTTTTTTATATCTGCAATGGTCCACATTTAAGGGGCGAAATAACCCCCTAAAGTTTGGTGATAATTCAATTTTTATAATAATTTTCGTAGAAGCAGTGGAGGGTTTTCGACGAAACTTGGTATAAACGTATTCTGTATAAGGACGGTGAAAACACAATATTGTCCAGCAATGCTACACCCCCCCAAAGGGGGTGAACGAATATCGCTTATTCTATTTTCGTAAAAACAGTAAAAATCCAATTTTACCGTTTCACCAAGGAGATTGTATTACTAGTTGGAAACGGGTGATGACTGCGTCATCTGATCTGTTGTAAAACTATTTTTTATTTTAAATTTATTTATAAATAATTGCATGTTATGAAAACCAACGACATTTTGAGGAATTAGCACGTTCACAAGATTTATGTACAATGAATTGGTCACGATATAACCCAATGTAGCTAGTCGAAATATACCCGTATACCACCTACATTCATTGTTTACAACCGATGTGTAAATGTTTATTGGCAAAAAGCAAAAAACACGTATTTCTTCATTTTTCGCGAGCAATCACATCGCGTAAGTGGAACTCAAGTAGGAGTGCTTATTTAATAGATATTACAAAAAAATGTCACCTGAAGGGTAGTTCACCCCCTTGAGGGGGTGTAACATTGCTGGACAATATTGTGTTTTCACCGTCCTTATACGGAATACGTTTATCCCAAGTTTCGTCGAAATCCCTCCACTGCTTCTACGAAAATTATTATAAAAACTGAATTTTCGCCAAACTTTGGGGGGTTGTTTCACACCTTAAATGTGGACCATTGCAGATATAAAAAAAACACGTGTTTCTTAGATTTTTGTGTTCTTCAACATATATGGAAATCAATAAGATTGAGGGCGGGCACTTGGGAATGTTTCCTTGTGTGTCTCATATAACACGGTTTCACCCAACACGGCATTTCCTAGGAACCTATCTACCATGTTATAGGAGGGTTACCTGTATCAAAGGTGGCCGTGGATGCATGCGGTGTCGTAATCGATTGCCCGTCGTTTTGTCGGGGGAGATTAAAGAATGTTTTTATTTAATTGCAGGCACCGATTCGCTGGTTCGAACCGGAGGCATACAAGGCGAAGGTTGCGGCTGCCGGTTTCGTTACGGTATTACCCCATGGAATGTGTGGCGACACGGAGAACGACCCCGAGTGATGTTCGCTCTCGTCGCCGAAGCTCCGAAATTTAACTTCGACTCGGCTGAATCTGTGAGCTGCGATTCCGTTTTTCAGGGTCATTAGACCAGGAATCGTCCCCGGGACAACGAGACCCTCTTTTCGGCCCTTCGACTTCATCTGGAACCGTTCCCATTTTTTTGTTCTTTCTTCTTGTAACTCCCTATTAATTAGATCAACGCGGAAATACCGTCCAAAGCTCCGGAATCAAATTTCGAAGCTCCAGAAATTAATCCCAGTTCCCTGGGTTCAGGGACCGCCTTTTCTTTTCTTTTCTTTTCTTTTTTTACTGAATTCCGGAATTCCTGAATTTAATTGCAATTACCGTGTACGTTTTCATTTTCCTCTCTTCTTATAACTTCCTATTAATTCGATCAACGCGGAAATACCGTCTAAAGCTCCGGAATCAAATTTCGAAGCTCTAGAAACTAATCCCAGTTCCCTGGATTCAAAGACCGAAGTTTCTTTTCTTTCTTTTTTTTTTATCAAATTCCGGAATTCCTGAATTTAATTGCAATTGCCTGGAAATGTTTTCATTTTTTTTTTTTCTTTGTAATCTTCAATTGACTTGATTAATGCCGAGTTTAAACTGGAGATATCTTCCGAAGCTTCCCCCTTTTTGGCCCTTTGACTTGATCTGGAGCCGTCCCCATTTTTTATTTCTTTCTTATAATTCCGTATTAATTCGATCAACGCGAAAATATCGTCCAAAGCTCCGGAATCAAATTTCGAAGCTCTAGAAATCAATCCCAGTCCCTTGGGTTGAGGGATCGCCTATTCTTTTTTTTTTTTACTGAATTCCGGAATTCCTGAATTTAATTGCAATTGCCTAGAAACGTTTTCATTTTTTTTTTCTTTGTAATCTTCAATTAATTTGATTAACGCTGGGTTTAAACTGGAGATATCTTTCGAAGCTTCAAAATGAAATTTCGGAACTCCAGAAATGAATCGCAATCCCCTTGAATTCTGGGATTGTTTTTTATTTAACACTAAATCTACCACCGGCGGATCAAATTGACCATTTTAAATGGTATTTGTAACGGGGGTATAAATCGTCGGTAGGTTTAGTGATAAACTATGAAGTGCAATTTCGGAGTTCCTAAATTTAATTACACTCACCTGGAATCGTTTTCTTCGTTTTCTTTTTGTTTTTTTAATTCCACCAATGCGGAAATTAAGTCGGAGATATTTTCCGAAGCTTCAAAATGAAATTTCGCAACTCTAGAAATTAATCGCAGCCCCCTTTGAATTCTGGGTCGATTTCTCATTGAACTCTAAAACCGAACGTCGGAGTTTCTCAATTCAATTACAGTGAACTCGAACTCGAAGACTGCGAGTTCCTTTGAGCGAATATCGTGACGATTTCGAGAATGGCTCGTGGACGTTTTTTCCTTTACTGATTTTTCAGACCATACGAAAAGTCGAATCGGTTCGGACAAAAGTGTCCTGAGTTTTGGTGAACACTTTTTTACTCGAAATTTCATTACTTTACGATCCGGCCCTTCTCTTGTCTTTGAACTTTACTCGTTCAAAGACGCTACTCTTTGCAAGTAACGTTAAGTGCACGCTCGACGATGCAATTGAATTAGAGCTTCGAATACTCATAAGACGATGGATGCGGTTATTGGTATTCTTAGTGTAAATCCTTGACTTTCGTTTTCTGAGACAGTCCTGTAATTGTAAAAGCAATTACCCTGTACCGGATAAACGTTCGAACGATTGAAATAGGTATGATGATTCGTTGGACTTGTTTCAGAAAAGTACAACCTTCGAAGCAAAGGCATAAGGATGTCAGCAATCGCATCCATTATGCATAATGTGAAATGCCGACGTTTAATCCTTTCACTCCTTTTGCGATTGGATTCAGCTATTGTGCGTCGGCGTGACTAAAGGGTGTCTTAGCTCAATTCCAGCTGCCGACTGAAACTAGTAAGCTTAACTCCAATTAATGAATTAGTTTGTTGCGCCAAAAGATTTCTTAGCTTAACCAGAGATGAATTTTGGGCAGGGCGCGTCTTCCGCGTATTCCATTTAATTTTTATTTAACCCTTTGAACACGGAGCCGTTTCAACATATGGGCGAAATTCGTCTGACCGTGCAGGCAATATTGGACCAAACGTCGGGCGCCGTTAGGCGCTCTTAGTAGCCAAAGGGTTAATGGCCTAAAATCCGTAAACCGGTGAAACTTCAACTACGCGGAGTAAACGCGATTGTGACGCTCTTAGAATTTTTTTTTTTACAATTTCATGAAATTAATTTTTATTTAACCCTTTGAAGACGGAGTCATTTCGACATATGGGCGAAATTCGTCTGACCGTGCAGGCAATACTGGACCAAACGTCGGGCGCCTTTAGGCGCTCTTAGTAGCCAAAGGGTTAATGGCCTAAAATCCGTAAACCGGTGAAACTTCAACTACGCGGAGTAAACGCGATTGTGACGCTCTTAGAATTTTTTTTTACAATTTCATGAAATTAATTTTTATTTAACCCTTTGAAGACGGAGTCATTTCGACATATGGGCTAAATTCGTCTGACCGTGCAGGCAATATTGGACCAAACGTCGGGCGCCTTTAGGCGCTCTTAGTAGCCAAAGGGTTAATGGCCTAAAATTCGTAAACCGGTGAAACTTCAACTACGCGGAATAAACGCGATTGTGACGCTCTTAGAATTTTTTTTTTATAATTTCATGAAATTAAGGACATCGTAGAATCCTAGGGAAGAGTCTCCAAGACTCGAATTTTATTTAAAGCGGGCTCTTTTGCCGGCTTTAATAACATTTAGCACTAATATGTAAACCAAAGCTAATGGCTTAATACTCCATCGACGAGTTGAATTAATTTCATAAATTATCGCGCTTTGATTGCTTAATGGAAAGGAGGATAGATATTAATTATTGTTGAATTAGGTAGATAAGAATTGAGGGAACTCGAGTTTTCTTTCGTTTCTTCTTCTTCTACTTTTTTTTTTTTTAATTCACTAGTTGTTAACTTACTTTTTAGACCCCGTCATAGAAATAACATTGTTTAATGTTATTCTAGGGATTCGAGTCAGAGATTTTTATCGGCGAGTTATTTCTTATCGACGGACGATCTCGATCGATCACTTGCACCAGTGATTGCATATTACTTAATCTTTAATCCGCTGATAAACTCGTGGAAGATTAATTCTTTTTTAAATTCACTTCAGAAGCTCTCGTCGATAAAAATGCACGTGAAATTCTGGAGGGCAATTTCGGAAACTCTCTTATCAGTGAACTGGTGCTTCGATCGTCTCCAGATCGTGCAATGAAGCATTATTTAACACAATCGCGACCGGCAAATTTTTCCGTATCAAATACTGAGTACCGTAAAAAATAATGAAATTCTGAAACTGGTTGCCGCAAACTTGTATCGTTAAAGCAAGGATAAAAATGATAAAATTTGCGCGCCTCGCCGGCTAACAATTAGCGAGCCAACTAAACAGGACGTGATTCACGTCAGTGGCAATCAGGAATAGAATTTAAAATGACGTGAATTCACGTCAGCGGCAACTAGGAATAAAACTTGAAAAGACGTGAATTCACGTCAGCGGCAATCAGGAATAGAATTTAAAATGACGTGAATTCACGTCAGCGGCAACTAGGAATAAAACTTGAAAAGACGTGAATTCACGTCAGCGGTCGCGAATGTGTTAAGGTGAAGTGAAACCCCCTCAAATAAGTCTATTCAAATAAGACACTTTTTTTTTCTTTTAAAGGGTATTGATTGGATAGAGCCGTCTGAAACTTTTACACGTGGCTCGTGAGTACCTAGGAATTATCCTGACCCTTTCAACATTTGGATTTTTGAAACAAAATTGTTTAACTTAGCCCAGACCAGAACCATAACGTCGTCAAGCTCTCATATTTCGATCGATATACAATTATCGAAGGCTCTAATATGAGAAACGAAAGAGTCAAGACAATTGTACGACGACTTAGAACACTCTGGTATCTATAAACTCACATTTGAACGGGATAAAGGCAAAAAAAGTGTCTTATACGCTTCTATGCTAAAACGACGGTAACACGAGGTCCCGGAGTGAAAATTTAGTTGATCTGGAAATCACAGATGGCGCAGGGGGTCCCTCTGCAGTGAATTAGGGCCTCAGAAACCATAAATCCAGGGGATTCCTGGAGTTTTACTTCGATTTCTTAATAATTATTGTACGAAAACGACATATAGAGTGTGCCATTTAGTGCAATACTCAATGTAATTCGACCCAGCTGTCGATATGAAAACCAACGTCGGCAACGTAGGTGTTTAGAAGAGCTTTTCTTACCGACGTCGGTCAATATCCTCGACGTGTTTCACTTCACCTTAATGTTATTAGAACCAAGTTCAAGGAGTTTTTACCGGTGATCTGTTCGCATTCGATAGATATTTAAGCTCAAGTTATTTCTGAGCTGAAGGAAAATAGAAGAAAAAAAAAAACTAAGTATGTTGAGTGAAGGATTGGAGAGGTGTCGAGTACCGATCCGTGATTTTTAGTGTAGACTAGTCCACGAGAACCGCCTCCGGTTTGGTTAGTAATTTAGCTGTGACATGATAACCAAATTAAATCCACGTCGACTAATACCAAAAAAGATTTACAATGTAATTTTTCTATTTTGTATATTGGTCGCGTAGGGCTTTCCGCGACGCGTAATTGTTGCTTCCGAACGAGACGAGAGTTCAACGAAAGAAAGGCAGAACTTTCAGTCGATCTCAGATATCTTGATTTTTGCAGAAATTCTATACAACCGTACTTGTACTTTAGAAGTAAATATCGGAACACATTTCACTAAAAGTTCAATCATTAACAGGTAATTAATTTAACGTCACGTTCGATAGTACCGATATATCGCAGGTCGAGCCCGATTTTTGGAAATGCCTAAAAAGGTTTTTTCGAACTCAGAAGTCTCCACTGTAGGACCTTCCTCTTTCAGTCTCGTCATTTTTTTTTTAATTCTATTTAATTTGTGATTTTTTATTTTCGAGCATAGTATTTATTTCATTATTTATTTTCTGTTTTCTTTTTTTTTTCCCCTTGCGAAGTACTTTATTCGAATTGTTTTCCTTCGCTTGCGAGTCGCGAGTCGAGACCTTAATTATATATCGGTTATGCGTTAAAAATAATTATATCCAGGATTATTCATCGGAAGACCCTCCCGAGAGTTCATTGAGTCTCTCGCGAGTCTCTTTCCATGTAACGAGACCGTAATTCAATGTTCTTTTTATTTTTCTTTTTTTTTTACCCCTCGTAGGGGCGCAACCCTCTACGATCTGTTATGTTTTTAAGAGTTTCTACTATTATTTAATATTTATCGCCACGATTAATCATTACCGCATTACGTTTCGCTAATTTATTCCCCTCTCCCGACTAACTTGCAGTAATATCGAGTCACGTTATATTGTACCGTAAAAAAGTTTATTAAATAAATTCGAGGAAGCTAAACACTCGAGATATGTACAATTCATTAATAGCCCGCCACCTACATCCATTACTCTTTCAATTTCGTTTATCATAACATAATGAACAGAATTTCACTCCTATCGGTAATATCCTCTCGTTAAGGTGATATGAAAGAGTCAGCCTATATATATATGATCCTTATATATATCACCGTCCCAGAGGTCAAATCGTTGGCGAGAGAATTCCCCAAATTGGTGGTACCGGTTCTTTTCAAATATTCCCACGTGAATACAGAGGCCCTAAGTAGGTCCTGAAACTCATGAAATTTCATTTCTCATCAAAAGTGTATTTATTTATCATGGACTGGAACCAACATGGCGTGGCCCGTACACGTTTTCGATGTTTTACGCTTTGTAGAGGCTTAGAATTGAAAATGAAGAGTTTCAGGACCTAGCTCGAACAATTTAGAATATCATAGAACTGGGAATATTACAGAGTCATATGGGAAAGTATGGAAAATACCTTCACTAACGATTGCAAGAGAATGCTGGCTTGTCCCATGGTTAACACGTGTTCTTAGAGTAAAAATTTAGTTGCAGCTAAACGTCACAGATGGCGACGTTGGTCCTAAACAGTCGTAAGAATAATGAATTCACGGGAATTCGACAGTTTTACGTCCACCTCTTTATCATTACTTTATCGAAATGACACATGGAACGCTTCAGTTTGTATAATTCTCAACGTGGACTGTAAAATACTTCAACATAAATATAAACGTCGGTAGCGTGACGCGCCAGCTTAAGTTCCCACTTGAGTATACGTTTAGGCATACGTTTAGTTCCAGCTAAGCGCCACAGATGGCGACGTTGGTCCTAAACAGTCGTTAGAATAATGAATTCACGGGAATTCGACAGTTTTACGTCCACCTCTTTATCATTACTTTGCCGAAATGACACATGGAACGCTTCAGTTTGTACAATTCTCAACGTGGACTGTAAAATACTTCAACATAAATATAAACGTCGGTAGCGTGACGCGCCAGCTTAAGTTCCCACTTGAGTATTCAAAATGACGTTACCACCAAAAAGGGTACAGGATGATGAATAGTAATTTATCGCCCTCGATTAAATTTCTCATCGCCTTTCATATCATCTTAACCACGTAATCATTCTTCATCACGCTAAACTCGTTTCCATCACCGCCGTTCGATCTCTCAAAATGATTCGCCACATCCCTCGCCCTCGATTAATTAAAAATGATTCGCAAGTTCGCGAATAAAAAAAAAACGAAAGAAAGAAAGAAAAGAATCCCCGACAAATCCGCATCGGTTCGATGAAAGTCGAGAAAGAAAATAAAAAAGAAAAAAAAAAGAAAATCGAAAATCAAACACCAGGAATATACTATTGTACTAAGATTACTCGTTTATTCCTGTACTGTACAGAAACCTTATATATCATCGTCCCAGAAATTGCAGGCATACCATCATCACCATTTTGTGCAGACTCAGATTTTCATAATACTACGCGCCCCAAAGAAGAGGGTCCCTCCGGTCGAGCAAGGATTCCCGCAGGAATAGTCGTCCCGAAAACCCCGGATATACATCCCCCAGGATCCCGAAAAGAGACCCTCGGTAGCACCGCGCCCTTCCACGCCGAGTTTCCCCCTAGCGGCCCGTCGACAAAGTAAACGGTCGCACTTTTGCTTTCGCGTATCCTCTAAACACGTACCGAGCACACACACACACACGCGCGCACACATTAGAAGAGAGAAAAGGAAGAAAAAAAAAACAAAAGAATCAAGGGAGAACATCGAGTCGCGCTCGCGTATTGCAAACTATTCCGGGCGGCGAGTCGTCCTTCGAGGAGTCCCGCCGCGTTGCATGATTTAATTGATACGAGATAATTGATAGCCTATCTGTCCTTAGGTGCTAGGTCGCGAGTTTCGTCCTCGCGTCATTCTCTCGTCGGCAACCTCTTTACCTCTTTTTCGCCCCCCCTTTCGTTACATGCTACCCTAAAAATCTAGACAGCCAGGATCGCCTCCTGAGCGGCGATCCTCGCTATACAAAAACGACGATCGAGCACCTCCTCGACGCGCTCGAGGACGGCTCAGCGGAATTTAATAGATCTAAGACCCGGCAAATATCGGCTCGGCGATGCCCCACGTATAATGGAAACTACAAACGGCTCGTCAAGAAATAAAACCGACATGTAAGGATCAAAGCTGTTCCCATCCGATAATCACGCGCATAGATTAGCACGAGAGGAGACTATAGCCAAAGAATTCACAAGTCCCATAGAAGTCCAGAGATCCTATGTTAGCGCTTCATGTTCTAAAAGTTCCTAACAAACCAGAAGGTGGAGGTAAAAGAGAGATCGCACGTGTTAGCCAACGATATCTCAGACACGGGAAAAAGAGAGACGCACATAGAAAGGCGAGTACTGGGTGTGAGATAAAGAGAGAGTGCAATTCGCTATATATCGCCATAAGATTAAGAGAGATGGAGAGATGACTACAGCGCCGCCACCTGTCGGCTAACGTGCTATCTATCGGGCGTCGAACGTCCCTATCCTTCTGGGCTTCTATGGAGATTTCTGAATTCTTTGCTATAGCGCTCGTACTTCGCTTTCAGGATTAATCACCGTCTTTCAGCCATTTGAGGACTATATAGAAAAGACGTCTAACGCCAAAAGCGAGGTATAAGTACGGACCTAAGGCCGCATCTCGGCAATCGCAAGTCGCTTTTCAAGTCATACAGTAATCGCCTATCTGCTTGTATAATTCAAAATCATACAAGCTAGTTCATCGCACAATTTTTATTCTCAGTTCTCGGGATTTCTCTGGCGAGCCGTGCACATCCTGCAGCCGTACATAAAGTAGAAGTTTTCTCCGAAAAGAGAAAAGCCGAGAGAGATTACGCGTCCAGGCGGCGTTGAAATCCCGCGAGAGTCTAATAATTGAAGTCCCTATTTCGAGTTTACAATTTAAATTACCTCCTTGTCGAAGGAATCGATGCCAACTCTCGCGACGAAACCGGGGCAAGATAGGACGCAAGGCCGAGCGAGTCCTCGTCGATTTAAGGTGATACGAAAGAGTCGTTCTATATATCAAAACGTCAAAATATTGATAAAACTTTTCTCCAAACTGGGTGCACTGAATCATTTGAAACTTCAGCACGTGATCATGAAGACTCTAAGGAAGAACGCGATGCTCGAGTGACCTCATTAAAAAGAAAGAAGTTTTTTTATTTAGCCTAGACTCGAACCAAGATCACATTTTCTTATGTGAAAAATCAAATTTTACGAGCATGACGTTCTTCCTTAGAGCATAATCACGTGTTGAAGTTTTATAAATATTTTGACATTTTATATACATACAAATTGCTTTCATAGCGCATTAACGTGATATGAAAGTGTCATATATACACACCAAAAAGTGAAAATATAAAAAAAATACTCTTCTTCAAATTGGATGCATCGAGTCATTTGAAACTTCAGCACGTGATTATGGAGGCCCTAAGGAAGAACGCGATGCTCGAGAGATTTCATTAAAAAAAAAAAAAAAAAATGTTTAAAGTTGTTCATTTAGCTTAGACTCGAGCCAAGATCACATTTTTTTTGTGAAAAATGGAATTTCACGAGCATCGCGTTCTTTTTTAGGGCCACCATAATCACAAGCTGAAGGTTTAAATGAATTCTGCGCCTCCAGTTTGAAGAAAAGTTACATGACACTTTCACAACGCCTTAAAATATACACACATCCAGAATACAAAAAGGTGTCCACGTCGAAAGGAAAAGAGAGATAATCGAGACGCGCTGAATGTCAAGGCAACGTTAAATGCTCCGCGAGTCTCCCCGGTTTAAAATCCCATATCCGATTAAAGGGCCGATCGCTGGACGTGATAATCCCTAATCGATAAGCCATCTAGGTCTCCTGATATCAAGACTGGGCAGTCGCGCGAGTACGGCGATCGCGCCTTCGCCCCCTACCCATTTATACAATTTCTAAACGCCGTTCTTCATTCCGTGTCCTTTTTAAATATGTAAATATGTATACCTATGTGCACACGAGGGTGTGTACATATACGCATGCCTAGACTCGCTTATACGTATATGTACATACATGTATGTGTATAATTATGGGTGCAAATGATTCGTCTACGCTCCTAAGCGAGTCTCGGGGGAGAGCCCTCGAGTCGAGTCGAGTCCTTCGAGAAGAGCCGACACCCTTGCGGGGAAATAAAGTCAAAAAATACGGAGCATCGCGCCAAAGAGTCGATACAAAGTCAATAGAGATCCTCTAACATGAGAGTTTGACGCGAGCCTCCGAATCCCGAAAGTCGCCCTTGGCGGTAAAACGAACATTTCCTGTGGTCATTGTATTAAGAAGGTCGAAATCCGCGCGCGGCGATTTCCCCCTCCCGAATTAAATAATAATTTTATCATTTTTCCTTCGTTCTTTTCTTTTTTTTTTCTCAAAGTCTTCCCGCACCGGCGTCATCGATACGTTCCCTCCCCTCTCGTTTATTCTACCGGGCACGTGATTTTCGTTGAATTTGCCGTACAGAAATATATTTTCGGCCGTCACCTTCCACCTTCTCCGTGATCCGTACGAAAATACACGCATCCATGCACCTCGTGCACGCACGCACACACACACCCGTTGCAATTACCTAGGGTAACAGGAGCGTGCTAGAGAAGGAATAGAAAAGGAAAAAGAAAAAAAGAAGAAAAAGATCTATGAATTGCACGTACACAGCTGCTAGGCGACGTTTTGTACAATATTTAAGAAATGCGCAAACGCCCCGCTCGCGTTCACGGTGGTCTCTAGTACCTTCCTACGAATCTAGATATTCCTTTAGTTCCTAACAAAGTCGATAGAGGGAGGGTGTTTAAGCATAAACATGCCGCGAAGAGTGACATCGAGTGCACCCCTGGCGTACCTCGGAAACGCCGGAGGGGAGACGAGAAGAGAATTAAAATAAAAAGAAGTCCCCCGGGAAAGTCGAGGTCCATGCCCGATGCATCTTCAGAATAATAAACAGCCGGAAAATGAGATCTCCCGGCTCGACGCAATCCCTTTCCCGCCTCTTGTTTTCCGTGGCCTGTAAGGGGGCCAACGGAGAACACAACTTTCCTAATGTCCCTTCCCTCCGATCGTACTTACCCCCTCCCCTTTTCCTTCCGTTTACTTATGTACAATCGTTTACGTTCTCTAAGTCCACACACATGAGAAATTTCTACCTAAAAACACTCCTTCGAGAGAGATCCTCGCGAGGCGGCCATACATTCTTCAAATATACTTCCCCTCGGGTTCTCGATCGCGCCTTTTTGCGTTTTGTGTTTTTTTGCCCTCCTCTTTTATATCTCCCGTAATCTCGCAAATTGTCTCCATTGCAAGAACAACGGAGAGAGACGAGATGTCGCCTGTGACGTTAAAGTGCACGACGATCCTACGGATGATTTACAATTAGAAATCGCTAATTACACTCGCTTATATAAATCCCCCCCGTGCCCCGGTCTGAAACTATCCACTACACTTATACGACGTCCTTTGCGTGCTTTCCGTTCCTCGCTATTTTTTTTATCGCCCATTTTCTTTCCTTTTCCTGTCTTTAGCTTAATGGGGGACCCATGCCTCACCTGGGGATCTTCCTAGACGGCCAACCCCAGGGGCGGTCGATCGCGCCGCACTTGAAGTTAAAATTAAAAATTCGCTAGACGACGGTGACGACGTTTGGGTGCTGCTTCCTCTTCCTCTTCTTATCTCCTTTTCGTCGGATCTGCGGGCGGGTTAAAAGACGTAGTCTGCGCCAGCCATGTCTATCGCCCATCTGAATTTGTCCCTCTGGGTCTTGTTGTAGATCTTCTCAATTGGGACGTTGTGCTTCTTGCACCTGCGCGAAAGAAAACGAAAAAAAAATAATTCATGAAAGCCCTTGCGGTCTCAGAGATGATGATGAATCTCGTGACTCCTCGAGAAGGGAGTGCTCGAAGGTCTCTCGGTGTAACCCTTCTTCTGGGTACAAGTGCAATTACTATTTGCGCGGAACTGTACTCACCAAGCAACGGAGATACGAGGGTCCAAATAATTCAGCTTCGAGGTGCCCAGAGCTATTTCCTTATTCTCCTCTCGATCGGTCGCTTGGACCTCCAGCTTAGTTAGCTGTTCCTTCAGCCTCTCCAGCGTCTTCTTTTTCTTCTCGTATACCCTAAAATGAATTAATGAAATTCATGTACAAGTCTGCCCTTTAACGTGATCCTCTGTACATTATTTTAACGTCAAAGAAAATATTCATTTTCTATCTAGTATGCCCCGGAATCGAGGTGGATCGAGCTGTGCGCCATAACGAGTGCGTCCTTTTTTCTCTTTTATAACATTTTTCTCGGGTTGGAGAACGGTCTGAAAATATCAGACTGCAGTATTTCTTTACGTACACTTTTTCCTTCACCGATCCATGTTTGGCGTCCCTCTTGGCGTCCTTGACTTGCAACTCCGCGTCTGAGATGGCCTCCTTCTTTGCCTCGATCTTTGCCTTTAGGTTCTCCATCGACTTCGCATGAGTCTTCGGAACGGAGCGCTGATGGTTACAGAGAATGGCCACGGCTCGGTTAGCTCGATTGTAGGAAAGGATCTTTTCAGCCTCGGTATCATCAGGATTCGTCAGCTTTTCAAGCTGCTGCTGCAGAGTCCAAGAGGCGTTATATGTCCTGAAGACCTTGGCCGTGAGGCCCTCCATCAGTTCGTTCAGATGTTTGTTCATAACGGTTGTGTTGAGGCGATCGAAGAGTTCATCTCCAGGGGATTTGTTCTCGAGAAAGAGTTGCAGGTTCTTAAAAACGCGCTTCTCTACGGGCACCTCGTTGTAATACCTGATCGAGTCCTTACCTAAATAAAAACCAAAGTAAATGATAACATTCATATACTTATTTACCTAAAATATTGCATTTACATGAATGGTAAAGAAATAATAATATACATAATGTAAAAACAACGCAGAAAAATTGTCATAGGGATGTTACAGTTCATGCAATTTTTGTTTGACATCAAGAATTACCTAAAAAGTCGAAGACAACTACGTAGTCTTTGCCGTCCTTTTGTTCGTGGAGGGTGATATGCTCGACTCGCAAAGAGCAGCAACCAACGGTGTCAGCCTGGTCGTCATCCTTTTCATTACCAGCTCTCAGAGCAAGCTTATCTATGAAGTAAAGCGCTACGGCACGCTGTCTCACTTTCATTTCCTTGCTCTTCCAGTCGTCACGGTATTCGGCACGTATTTTGTCGATAGACTTTGCCAGTTTTCTTGCAGTCTCGTACTTCTGCCAGTCTTTCTCTCCCTTTAGTTTACTCGAGGGATTCAACATAACATACTTAACCTGGTTTTGTATATTCTCTGTCCAAGATGCCAGCCATGTTACGTTAGGATCGTGTCTGACCTCTTTCCATTTGTGGCCTGCCGGTGGTTTTGGCATAACAGAATCCTTTGAGCAATTGATCATCACGTCTTCGGGCTGTACCCTTTTCTTAAGCTTACCCATCTTTGGATGTTCACCGCGACCACGGAACAGACCAGGTGGCTCAATTTTAAAATTACCTATTTTTTCTTTATGACCGTCAATGGTGCAAAACCCATACTCCTTCATAATCTCGTCATTCTTCTCCTTGATCTTCTTTTTTTCCTCCTTCGTCATTGCTTTACGCTCCTCTGATTTTAGAAGGAAATATGAGTGCATCTCTTTAAAGTTGCACTTATTAAGATCGACTATCTTTGCACGTTCTGACTCAGTCATAACTTCACGCCAGTCGTGGAAGAAATTATCATTAAACACCTTCTTAGTGGTATAGTCATGATCCAACATGCGAGCATAAAAGGTTGCTACTTCCTCCGTATCCTGGGTCAGCTTCATTTCCTTTCCATTATAGTAAAACTTAACCGAAGAAGGCAAAGGATCATAAGGTGGGGCAAATACAGGTCCCTTGTGTTCTAAAAAGTTCCACTTTGTTCCATCACTTTTTTTCTCCTCTTCCCACCTATAGCAAATAATTCTTGTAAAATATCACTGCTTTGACAAACTTTAATTGCAAAATTGTTAAACAGATTCAAAATACCATTTTTTGGGTAAATATTTTTGAACCGTAAGCCTTTTTCTACTTTGCCGAGTTTTTGTACCTTGCGAATATAACCTACTTAAAACTACAAAAGAAGCTGCACAACGCGTAAATAAGCGAGGAATCGTGAAACAAACAATTGGAAATCGAATAAATGTACTAAGAACCACTTGTGTCATCTCTTAATACAGAATATCATTCCAACAGCACAATCTGAGAACGCGTGCAGCAGCTCTCTGATTTAGGTTATGTAAACTGAGATATTAGGTTATGTTCCTTTACCTTCAGAACAGAACGCCATTATTGACGCGATTAAAGAATTTTAATCATTTTAACTCAACGAATTTAACTATTTTATTACAAGATAAATTCTTTGATAAAAAATACCTATATACCGTTTAAATTAAAGTATGCTACAAGACTAATCATTTATTAAATATCACTTGCTCCCCATTTGTTTTTAATAGCAATATGCATCCAAAGGAAATACGAAATTATAGAAAAGATTTTTTCGCGCAACACCAATATCAAAATAATTTAAATTCATTGTGTGAAATTCTTAAAGATTAATTGTCATAATGCGACTTTGCACTTCTTTTAATTTGTAAGCAAAATAAGGAACTTCCAAAGACAAAAAAGTATGATCGGTTCATACCATTTCCAAACCTCCTGTTCTTCCTCTTCCTTCTTTTTCTTCCTTGGACTTGGAGTATTATTTTCTGTCTTCACAGCCTTCGAACTCTTTTTCTTTTTCGGCTTCTATACAAAATGAATTCATTTTTGCCATTTAAATTTTGAAAACTTGAGATTAACAATAAACTTACTTCATCCTCCTCAAAGTCTTCGTCTTCGTCATCGGGAAGTTTCCTCTTCTTCTTTTTCAATTTAGCATTTTCCTTTTTCGGCTTTTTCCGTGCCGATAAGGGAAGATCGTCCTCCTCTTCGGATGACTCAAATTTCCTTTTAACTGTAGGCGAAGATGCAGATCTTCTCACATTCTAAATGTATTAATTTACTTAATGAGTTCCAGTAAGTAGTCTATAGCCATTAAAAATTACATTTAATTAGCGATAAGCTTCTCACACACCGAAACACGATGTTGCCTTAAGAATTTTTGCCTTTTGAAATAAGGTCTGTTATTTTTTCTATTGTTCATGGAAGGTGAAGAACAGCAAAAGTGTAAATCAATTTTAGGTGACAATTTTACAAGACATGCTGCGTAACTATCCATTACTTGATAGATCAACAGGAAATTTCACTGATATGACACATAATTTAAGAGGTTAACTTATGTGCTTACATATAAATTTAATAAAACAATTGAATTATCAGCCACAAGTAATACACCATGGTTCAAGAAGTAAAAAAGATTCATCTCGTTTTTACATAATTTACAAAAGAAAAAATTGCTCAAGTGACGAAAGTGGCACATGTATCGTGTAATATCAAAATCACACTACCTAATTTAAGTACTTAAATTCTTATGATTATGTAGTGACATAGAAAAAAATATTGTATATACCAGTGGTAAATCTTCGTCGGATTCTTCTTCTGTTTTTATAGTAGTATTGTGGAGATCAGACAATCTAGTATCATTTCCCGTTGAATCCAAACTAGCGTCTTCACCGTCTCTTACTACTTCTTCATCTTCCTCCTCCTTGATAAATAAAGGTTGTTCTCCGCCACTGTCATCATCATCTTCGGGTTCTTCCTGTGTCACTTGCTCCTGAAGTAGTAATGCAGGGTGATTATGAACTACTAAATCCGAAAAATAATTATGTGCAAAGACTCACCTCTTTAATGTCTTGCTTATAATCCTCAACCTGTGGGGACTCGTCCTTGGAAATAAGTTCAGTCTTAATGTCATTTTCGTCCTTTATCCTAAGTTCTTCCTTCACCCTGTCTTTTCTCTCTTTGTCGTCTCGATGCTTTGCTGCAAACATAGTGTTCAAATGTTATAACATACCAGTACCCTAAATTACAATAACAAATTTATATTTTACAAATCCTTACATTTTTCTTTATCATGCCGATGGCGATCTTTGTCCTTTTCGTGACGATGCTTATCCTTATCCGATGCATTATATTTGTCCTTATCCGACGAACGGTGTTTCTCTTTATCCGAGGTTGCGTGAGATGTCGAATGCCGTTCCTTTTCCTTGTCTGATGAATGTTTTCTATCCTTATCCTTCTCTTTATCCTTGGAAACACTCTTGTCTTTCTCTTTGTCCCGGGAGCTGGAGCTTGTCGAAGTATGTTTATGCTTGTCTTTTTCCTTGTCTTTGTCTCTATTCCGAGAGCTATCTTTATCCTTATCCTTCGAGCTAATATGATGCCTTAAATTGATAAATAAATTACCATTAAATAAATTCTAATTCTCACTAAATAATTTTAGGGTAAATTACTAAAGTATCTCTTAAATAAAGCAATGTATACAAATGTCCACAATTCTCTTGCAGTCCTTAAATTACGTATGAACAACTATGTTACCATTAGGTTAATACGTTTAAACTTTCGCACCTATTAAATTTTTTAATTTTAATATAAGTTTGGGAAAAGTTAACGATTTCAGAAGATCCTTACTTCTCTTTCTCTTTATCCTTTGAACTAGAACTGGATTTATGATGATGTTCTTTGTCTTTACTCTTGTCCTTCTCTTTATCTTTACTAGAAGTACTACTCGTGCTACTCCTATGCTCCTTATCCTTATTAGACGAAGACGAGCTACTTTTCTTTTCCTTATCCTTCTCCTTGCTGCTACTACCACCCCCGTGTTTGTCCTTCTCCTTCGAAGAGCTCGAGCTATGTTTATGCCGATCTTTCTCCTTATCCCGATGTTCGCTCTTATGACTTTTCTCCTTGTCCTTGCTCCTCTCCTTGTCTTTATGTTCAGACTTATGAGAGCGATCCTTATCCCGATGCTCCGATTTATGTTCCTTCTTCCGGTCGAACCCATTGGACACCCCGTTCATATGGGCATCCACTATCGTAAAAAGCAAACAAATCAATAAAACGATCAATCCTTAAGAATCCAAATAAAATACAAAAAGTCTTAGGAATATAAAACTACCCATTACGGTGATACATTTTATATTCACCTATCCTGTATACAGGTGAAATACCATAACTCTTAGCAAAGTCCTTACCTCCATGGTTCCCAGCCGCGCTGCTGTTCTCCTTGGCCTTTTTATCCTAAAACCGAGAAGAACGTAAACATTTGGCTGACCGTTCGCTTCGAAGCGGTGGACGCGGTCGCGACAATGCGCTCGCAGCCGAGGCTCGGCCACACTGAGGGACTTAGCCGCAGACGCCATTTTGGGACTTAGAAAAATTTCGCGTCCCTGCCCGAGGCCGAGTCACAAGAGGCGGCCGGCCTCGCTGATCGAGATATCGCGAATCTAGGCACGCAGTCGGACGCGCCGCGTCGAGCTCGCCATTAATCGCCAACTCACCAACTCCGGACTCGGTCGCGTTGTCGCCTGCTCGATATCCATTTCGTCCTGCCAGCGAACGCGACTGAGAAGTAGACTCCGGCGGCCGAGGTGAGAGCGTTCCACGGGCAGAGTGAGCCAGAGACCCCAGAGAACGTGGAACACAACGACGCGCACACTCGACCACGCGGAGGTACACACTCAAGGCTCCGACCTGCACGGACGAACACGTATGAACACGCATACGCCGGGCGCACTCGCACCGCACCGACCAACCAATCTCTCTCCGCTCCCGAGTGCCGTTTCTTTGCGCTGGCGTCTAAGTGCTCGAAACCGGTCTCTGCGCATGCGTCACCCTCTGTCGGCGCTCGCCGGAAGTGCGGCTGCGCAGTCGCCCGCGCGCACGCGAGGGACAGCGACTTCGCCGCGCAGAGAGGTTAACTCACGCGGCTACTCAGGTCGCTGACCGAGAGACCGGATCGTCTCTCTCGTCCTCGCTGTAGTAACGAGAGAGACGAGGACGCCGCGATGCTGGGAAAGCACAGGAGTCTCTCGGGCGACGTTCGCTCTCACCTCTCGCATTGAATGATTAGGCTGATGTGTGCGATAAGGTTCAGGGGCGGCCATTTTGGCGGTCATCGTCTCGTCGAATCGCGGATGGAGAGCAGGATTGGAACTTGCTCCACGCGGCTGGAACTTTCGATGATAAAGGAATTGTTTACCGTTTCTGGTTAAAGGGAAACAGGATCTCACAATTTGCGAAATTCAACGGTCAAGAGGCGGCAGAAAATGTTTCACGATTGAGAAGGAAATGATTACGCTTGATAACTATGTCGAGAAGGAAACGTGGCGACTGAGGTGGTGGAGTTATGGACGGAATATGATTTTAATTTTTTTTTTATCAATTATGTTTATAAGGATCTTGCAAGGAATTGAATTTTAAGGAGTAGATATTTATGCGAAGGGAAATGTAAACGTATTCTTGATCCCATTTGCGATAATTCTTTTAACTTTACGATCGAACTTTGTGCAATAATTTAGAAGGCAGAACACGTGGTTACGAGAGCAAGAACGTATAAGAATTATAACCTCATTGAGTTTATTTTAATTGTTTAGAGATAAATTTCAAGTTTATAAATTTCGATTTAACATTTCTTTTATAAAAGAGGAAGTTTTGATTTACATGTTATTGCTTTACCAGAGAGTGGATTTTTATGAGGTTAAGTTCTTTAGTTTTCAAGTTCGAGGATAATGTTCACGTTTTAAATCGTTCGGGTGTACTACAAGCATAAAATTAAAGAAAATGTTGGTCTCAAGGGGAGCAAAAGATACATGGAACAATTATACTAATAAGAAAGTCGGTACATTTATTCATCACAGTACACAAAACTCAGGTCTTAAGAAAATCCAATCAAACCGTTTTATTCCGACAAGTTATATTCCGAATAAAATTATATGGTACAGTGGGATAAAGTAACACCGATCGGTTTTCACATGATTAAAAGTTCTTCGCGTTTAAGATTCCGAAGATCTTCGTATACTACATTAGATTACCTATGCAATTCTTACGGTAACAAAATAGTTTGTACAATCAAAAAGCAGTGACCATAAGAGTTTTGGGTTTGCACTGCTTTTGCCTTATGTATCGTGGCATTCATTCAAAAAGATTCCTTGTTATAATTTAACGTACTCCTGTTTCCCCTCTGCATTCCACGTTGACTTCATTTTTTGGAAGGCAAATACTGCATAGAGGGCTGTAAATAAAATAAGTGGTATATTATTCTGTAAAAAGCATTAAGCTTGTATATAACTATACTTACTTGTGGCTTCCCATTCGGACTGGGAAAGGGTACCAATTTTACGGTGTCCAGTTGAACTTTGCATATACTGTACCGCGTGTTGATAGTCATTCGGAATTTGACCAAGTAAGGGTGCTTCGTGGTAAGGAGGATATGTCTCCAAAGCCTGCATCTTGCCAAGAAGGGATCTCCCTTCGTCTTTTATTCGTTCGTAAAAGTCTTCGAATCTATTAAAAATAAAAGAAAGGATAGTGAACTTCATTTCTGTTAACTACAGAAGATGACGTTCTTTAATTTTAATCTTCTTTTGTTTATTCTATTCTTATGCCGGCATTTTTACCTTTCAAACATCACTAACTCGAGACCATACTTTAGAGCTAATTTGCGTAAAGTTGGAAGATGGACGAGAAACTCGGGACAGTCCACAACACCTTCCAAATGAAAGTTATATTTTGCACCGAATAGAGGTGGTTTCTCTTTATTATCATCCAGAAATTCCACAGAGTAAATATCATTGCCAAACTTGTTACCTTCTGTCTTCCTCCACCGGCAACTGGAAAGCAATTTAAAAAATTCTTATTTACGAGATGTTCCAGTCTTATACAATTTACAATAAGGAGCAGAGAGCAAATTGAAGCATACACTAAGTCATTTGCATCTGGTAAAGTTCCAATGAAGTAGCCACCAGGCCTTAGACTTTCGCTTGCATTGTGTAGCATGCATTCAGCTTGCGGCAGTGATTCGAAACTGTAATGGAATGCAAATTGACAGCTTACAAGATCCAACTGTGTACTGGCATCCTTGTATTTCTCTCTTAACCGGACCTGAAACTCATTCCTTTAACCAATCCCTATCGTCAGCCATAACCTTCATATTACAGAGTATTTCAGTACAATGTAACATGTCTATACCATTAAACAGTATATTTGACAAGATATTTAACAAGAACTAAAGAATGAAATAATTTCAGAAGAGATGTAAACTAAGTTACCATAAGTTAATGCAAACTAAGAAATTAATTTTCATGAAATTTAAATTTTAGTCACATCGGTACTGAAACACTCGTCAAATGTATACCTTTGTACAGTCCGCCGTTATAAATTCTGCTGTAAAAACAGGAGCAAATCCTCTGTCATTTGAAGATCGTCCTACTAGTTCGTTATAGCGATTCTGGCATTGTTCAACTGAAATTTCAGCTATGTCTGCACAAATTAAATGGCTAATATTGGCCTTATGCCATTTTAGGAGATCACCACCTTTTCCACAGCACATGTCCAATACTTTTAAGGGAGAACCGTGTAGCATCTTCTCCTGACGTATTTTGTTTAGATACTCATCTGTAATACCATTACATTTTAGAATCAATGTTTTGGAACTGTTCTCAAATATAAATAAGAATGATTCAAATACTCACTTATAAGCATCGTTTTAATCCAGTTATTGAAATTTCTCATGTATACTATTCGGCTTTGAGATCGGAATGAAAGACCTTTGTCTGTAATAGCGTTATAATGATCTGCAACCAATGCAGAATTGTTTAAACTCTTCTCAGTCTGTGTACATTCGCCAGAGTTCCTGCTGGTACCAGTTGATAGATCTGACGGAACGCTGGTATTCTGCTGTTATAAAATAAAAATATATTATATCAGTAAACATTCAATGCATTAGAAATAAAATTAAACCTAAGATCATCCATTGACATTTAATATGATAAATATGGTTTACTTTAATTCAAACAAACCAATTCTATTGATAAATTTGTAGCTAACAAAAACAAAATACTTTTGTTGACTAAAAATGAACCCTTTTTACCAGCTACTTTGTTTAGCATAACTTTTTCTAATAATTCTTTGCTAATAAATATTTGCAAAAATAAGTAATTCTAACAGCAAATAATGTATTTTGATTTCAAATTGCCATTCAGAGAAAATGAATCAAGAAATAAGTCAACATAAATGAAAATCAATTCCATTGCCTATGTAGCTTAATTTTTTCAATCATTCTGTCGTTAAGTACTTTTTAGGTATGAATTAATTTCATAAACATGTATAAATTTAGTGTGTAAAATATTGAATGCTTATAGATGTTCAAGTTAGCAAAAGGATTAAAGTGCTCTGCCATCCATGTTACTGATGACGCTAGTAGCATCATCATAGTAGATATCGAAGTATACAAAACAATTATAATTCATATTTTTGTGTCTTACAACTGAGCCTTCTTGTCCGGTATCGGTGTTGGCAATTTTTACTTCAGAATGTGCTGGATCCGAATCTTGGGGTAATTTTCTCTTTTTACTTGCACGCTCCTTCTCGTCCTTTTCAGAATTCTTAGCTGCAGTGGCAGCTGGTTTCGAAGACGCTTCCTCGTTAGCACTGGTTCGACTGTCTTCGACGTCATCCTGGCACCTTTTACTTTCCGTCGGTTCTTCTTGGGGCTCCCTCTCAGGCTCCACAGACAACGAAGACATTTTTCCAACTAAGAAAACCAGTAGAAAATAATCAGTCAAAAACTCACGTTTAGACGTCAGTGATGATTGGTGCACTAAGCCATGTAACATAATACAATAGAAAAATGATAGAGTTAACCACTAATAAACGATTATGATTACGTTATACCGGACCACTAAACGGCGCGCTTTTCTTTCAGCTAAATTAGAGGTACTCCGAAATACAAACCACCGTGACACTTTCTAGCGTAGCCGCCAAAGCCCACGAACTTAAAAAGTTTACAAGATCTCGTTCTATTTTTCGACGTTCCCTGGTTCCATCTATGAGCGTCGATGCACCACGGTTACCAACCTGAATGTCGTGAAAAATGGAAAATAACGGGACTTGCGGCTGCGTTTTCTCTCAATTCATTAAAAATTAATCCATTTCTTTCAGTACTTCCTGATATCTGCACAAATTTCAACGGAATCGAGAACTTCATTAACGAAGCAAGCTTCTCGGCCCTGAGGCAAGACATTGTTCATCTTCTGGTCGTTCATGGTTTATGTTAATTTCTAAAAAGCAAACGGTTTAATTTAATTTAATTGAACTTTAGCCCTAAGGTTATTTTTATTCATAATAAATAATACGATTATTTTTCCTTAGGTAGAGGTGAAAGAGTTAAAGCATTCACGATTCCCGGTAGCAATGAATTTCTTTTTTTTCTGTTACTTCACGGCGTCGTAGATAGAAAATTACTACCAAATTGATATTCTACTCGATGCATCGAAATACCGTCGTGTAGATTAGTGTAGAGATCTAGTTAACCAACGGCCGTTTACTTTACCGATAGAAAGTGGATACAAAAACTATATGTTAAAAGAACCCAATCGATAAGCACAGTTATCGGCATATTCTAGCAATGGCCTACGTGTGCAAATTAATGAATGTTTTGACTAATAAAATGTCCGTTTTATAATTTAGATTTCACTGTGGATGGAATAGCGTAAGTCAAATTAATGGCCAGCTCGAAGAATGCTCATCAAGCGAAACTGTTTCTATTTTCTATGGTACCCGCAGTCAATATCACGTATCATGTATGTTTATTACTGCATTATCAATCAATAAAACCATTGACCCACGACCACAGTGTAAAAAACATTGATTAACCGATGAAGGGTCTACATATTAGAAAGTATTATATGTCTCTAGTTTTCCACACGAGCACAAAGTATATTACGCCCTTCTCTTTTTAAATAGAAAATAATAAACCAGGGAGAAATTTGATATTAAACAGGATTAAGTCGAAAGAATTTGAACACGTACGCTAAATGAATTATTTCTTAACAATTTTTACGTGTTTATATGTGCGCTAAAAGACGTTAACCTTGCGAATACATATATTATGCACCTGCGGAATCCTCCATATTGGAAGAGTCAAATTCTAAACAATTTTGAATACAAGCGCCAAATTAATTCATTGTTCCTTAAAATATTTCCGTATTTACATACATATATGCTAAAAGACGTTTATAGTCTAGCAGAAGCTGTATATCGTCCATCTGCGGTATTCTTGATATTGGAAACGTAATTTCGAAATCGAATCGTGTACTTAGTTTCAGAAATTTGCTGAGAGGGGCAGCACTTACGTTAATCGTTCAAATCGCTCAAGGTATATCGCTCTTTTATACTAGTACTTCAATGATCTTTGATTTCTGTTTTCACTGGTTTTTGCAGTTTTCCAGTTTCATTAATTCTACGAGGTCAAGAATGTTTTACCTACAAGAACTAATGTGATTTTGGCACCGGACTTGCTTATGTTCTTTGCAGAAAAATGACGAAACCTTGCATCGTCCCGAAGTGCAAAACGGGGTACATTAGCAGCAAGAAAAAATGTTCGGTATTCAAAGTGCCAAGCTACGAACCTCTTCGAAAACAGTGGGAGATAGCAATACCTGGAATACTATTTCTAAAATCTACCCAATTTGTCTGTGAAAAGCATTTTGAAGATAAATGTATTATAAGGAAATATATTAAACACGATGCAAATGGCAGAGTCATCGCTGAAGTAAGTTTTCCTGAATGAATGACGACAGCGATCAAAGATGCATAGGTTATGCCAAGTTTTCTTTGTATAAGGTTTTTAAAAGGAACGTAAATTCATTTTAACTTATTTTGTTTTTAATAACTTTAATAGAGTCCGTACCAGCGCCCTCGCCTTGCAGATGGAGCTGTTCCTAGCATTTTCAGCAATTATCCGCCAGATACAGATACTTCAGAAGCTCCAGGTAAGAAACAAATCAATCAAATTGCGGACAATGAACAAATAATAATGAATAGCATGAACTTTTGTTGTAAGTAATGTGGTTAAAAAAATGCAATGCTTGGTTTAAATTATTTAATCGTATTTGGAAACAGTATGTGACTTAACTTTGCAACAAAAGCACTTTAAAGCTCTTCTTGCAAGTATTTTAATTGATTCTCCTCCAATTGCGAAAGTTAAAGGGATGGAATCCAAATCAGAATCTTCAGTGCCGGAAGTAAAGAACATCGTTCAAGACATGAATGCCTGTGGTGCTAAACAACCTATTTCAGAAACCATTTATGTAAAGCCTGTGTCTTTGATGGTACAATCTGAAGATAAAGAATCTTCAGTTCTCGAAGATGCGGGAAATACTCCTATAAAGCAGACATTTTCAATTAATGAATCGACTTCTCTATCTTTAAATGCTGTTAGTACTGTAGGCAAGTATACGATACATTGCATTTATAAGTGTAGATGATAATAATAATTATGTATGAATAGCAAAATTTAACAGAAATATTAATTATTACATGAATGTGTAATTCTGAAAATTTTGTGTAGGTTTTCACCACAAAGGAAATCCTTCTTCAGTTGCTCTACCGAAATCATGGAGCATTGTTGAACATTCTGTAGGTAATGAAAAGTGGTTTATATTTTCCCATGTAATTATATCCACTGTAAACAATGAAGATATACATGTGTTAAAGAAGTCTGTCACTGTCGATGGTAGTGGACGTATGCGTTATTATGTCTATGGGAGAGAGGTTAATATCGAACAGACACATCTTCCACGAGTTTTAAGTAATGCAAAATTACTCCCTGTTACTTTATATACGTTTGAAAAAACACGAATATGTGAAGGTCTGGGAAATCTAAATATTTCCTTCAGCATAGATAATCTCGCGTTCAGGGATCACATTGATAATTGGCATCATACCCAGTGCAGATTGTTGGCCAAAAGAACAAAGTGTGATATGTGTAAAAGGCTGAAGAAAACTTTATTGCAAAAGGAAGCTCGACTCGAAAAGCGTAAACAGTTTAGTCGAATTTCTAGGGCTTCAAATCCTGAAGACCAGAAGAAGTTAAACGATATGAGGAAAACACTTAATCTGGTGCGTCGAACAAAAAATCGCGCCATATTAAGGATACGAATGTTAACCAATGTCTTGAAGGAAAGGCAAGATGAGATTGCTGCGATTAAAGATCAGTCTTTAGAAGAGAAATGTCTTTTGTTAAATATTTCCGAAGTGCAGAAAACTGCAATGAAAGAGATTATTGCAGCTGCAAAGAAAGACCCAAAGGGTAGACATTATTCTCAAGATTGGATAAAACAGTGTTCACTAATGTATACCCAATCGCCGACCTATTATAACTTCTTACGGGAAAATAATGTCATTCCACTACCATGTTCGAGAACAATTCGGTTGTACGCAGTCTATCAATCTAAAATGCAGAGTCAGCAATAAATGACTGCTCAAAAAGTATTTTGTAGCTGAGTAAATTCAGCTATAAACGTGCTGCTGTGTAAACGAAAGAAACTCAAAGGTATCTCTATTTCTTCAAAAAGTAAGAATGCAGCTATTCTAATTTATATCGTAAATAGAAGTACAAAGTTCACACTTCACTAATTGTAAATAAATACTTTACATTAAAACGTAACATTGGCTGAATAATCTACAATATATACATATATATATTTATAATAATTTACACGTTAACTCAGGAAATTATGGCGGATGTAGCAATATTTAATTATGTAAATATAATCGTTTTATAATTATATGCAGTTACGAACAGAGATGAGTTGCGGGATGGGGGTAGGATCGTGCGATCACGTCCTGTGGTGCCCCCCGATGGACGATGCGGAAGGCTGACGCCTTGCCAACTGTTACTCCTCAGTGGCCGCACACAGAAAGAAGATGAGAGTAGCCAGACTCCATACTTCATACAGAGATGAGCCTCTGCTCATAACTTGACATCGGCAGCTAGGACAACGGTACCTACAGAGATGAGTTGGGAGATTGCTCACGGGCACGGTCACGCGATCGCACCGTGTGCTGCCCTCTGATTTCGTACGTTAGCTTTCACCGTTTTTTACCCCCAAGGGCGGCGCAACGAATTTCTGGTAGGGGCTCGCGCAATCGCGATGGCTGTGCCATCTACCAGTTGCCGTTGGCGGCTCACGTATTCGTGATGGTAATACCATGCGGCAGTTGACGGTGGTGGCTTA